TTCTCACTTTAAAGAAATAACATTCTTCTGGAATTTTAAGTTTACATAAAATGGAAATTTTGGGAGGGGTGATTTGCAAAATGATCTGTTCCTTCAAAAAACATTGATAGCTGTAGGATCCTTAAAAATAACCCACTCCCAGGATGAAGAGATGCTAAGAGGTTAAGAGTACTTGACTACTGTTCCAGAGGACCCGGGTTCTACTCCTAGCACCCACAGCAGCTCACAATTGTTCCAGTGGTTCTGATAAAAATGTTTCCTTAAAATCCTTTTTGAAATACATCCAATTTTGGGCTGGAGAGATGGCCCAGTGGTTAAGAGCATGGCCTGATCTTCCTGAGGACCTGAGTTCAATTCCCAGCACCCACATGGTGGTTCACAACTGTCTGTAACTCCAGTTCCAGGCGATCTGACACCCTCACACAGACACACATCCAGGCAAAGCAAAATCATTAAAAACGTTCCAGTTCCAGGGATTCTGATGTCCTTTTCTGGCTTCTGTGGGCACCACATACATGTAGTGCACAGACATACATGCAGGCAGGCATTCATACATATAAAATACAATTAAATAAATCTTTAAATAGTCAACTCCTGCATACATTTTAAAGTTGGTTTACACATATATTTTTAGAACTATTGCTTATGTAAAATGTGGCACAGCAACAATTTGCAATGTTTAGCCAATTTCCCAATATTTCCAAAAGTGGTCAAAGTTCACGGATGCTGTGTACATGCATGAAGCTGTCAAAGGACAGACACAAAATTGAGTCAGTTTTTGGGGGTGTATAGTTGTGAGCCCCATGGCCTGTTTGAGAGCAAAGAAGGAGTTAAGATGGATGTACTATAAAGGACTGTGTTCTTCCTTGTGTACATACATACCTGTAATGCACAGACTGTTCTAGACCTAGCAAAAAGGCTGGCGGGTTCCAGAAAGGGGGATGGGAAACCCAGAGTGGTGGAGACCGATGACACTAGGGACTTTATTTCTTCCATGTACAAACCTAAGTCTAGAATTCAAGTACAAAATAGCTAAGCGAATTATCCCCATCAGTCACTGAGCTGAACTCCAAAATCGTGTACTCCAAAATCAGTGTGGCAGGGCACTGAATGCCCTCCCCAAAACACGAGGAGGAGACCCCCCTCCCAACATTTATCCCTCCTATTTCCAACTGACCAGTGTTCAGTGTTTCACAGAACACTCCTTTCTCACTCGTGCTCAGGCTAGAAAAGACTGATTTGGGGCAAGCAGAGAGTGAACTAGTGGTCACTAGAGGCGAGGAAGGGTAGGCGAGATGCAGACGCTGGACGAACGACGCCAGCGCGCAGTCAGGGGTATGTTCTATGTGGGGCGGCACAGCAGGCAACTGTAGCATAGTTTGTTGCATATTTGATGAGGAAACAGAGAAGAGTTAAGGCTCCCAACAGAGAAATGGTAACTGTTTAAGGAAATGGGAGGCTAATTATCATTATTCATTTGTAAGCATGCATCTAATTATCACACAGCATCCAATACATTTGTATAACTTATGTATCAATTGAAATGATGAAAATCAGTGCTGGAGAGGCTCAGCAGTTAAGAGCACCTGTCCTTATGGAGGACCTGTGGTGTGGGAAGTCTGACTCCGGATGGGACTTAGCCTGTAAACCACAGCCACGTGGCGGTACACAGATGAATAGAAATGGGCTAAATTAAGATGTAAGAGCTAGCCAATAAGAAGCTAGAGCTAACAGGCCAAGCAGTTATTTAATAACTATAGTTTCTGTGTGGTTATTTTCGAGGCTGAGCAGCCAGGAACAAACAAGTGGCCTCCTCCTACAGACCTGGGTTTGGTTCCCAGCACCCAAATGACTCAGCACCATGTGTAACTCCAGTTCCAGAGATCCAATGCCTTCTTCTGACCTCTGTGAGCACCGGGCACATGTACTGTGCATCCAGACATGCAGGCAAAATATTCAGGCACATAAAGTTTAAACATCTAGGAGAAAATTTAAAAGTAAAGATTAAAAATAATGAATGTGCTCAGTCATTTAAAACAGAAAATAAAAGTCATTGCAACATCAGAGGACTAAAAAGGGACGGACTCTCTCTTCTTCCAGGGCTGCCTCCACATGGACCCTGCTGAGAGGCTGACATGCGAACAGCTGTTGCAGCATCCGTACTTTGACAGCATTCGAGACACTGGGGATCTGACAAGGCAGGACAAGTCCATGAGGAAGACCCTGAGACAGAGCCGGAAGCACCCGGCTGGGGTAAGACTGGCGCAGGGCTTCACAGACTTTCAAATCACCTCGTGCCTGGGGCCTGCTACTGAGCTGGAATCTAGGTTGAGTGACGCTGTGGCTTGAAGCCCCAGCATCCTTGGTACAGAAGTAGGAGACAGGACATCTGAATTATCAACCAGGGCCTCAGAGACATCTGCTTCTTAAGGCCCTTTCCCAAATCCTAACGTTGTCCTTGCCCTCCCTGCTGCTCCACAGTCTAATGGGCACAAACCCAGGTTGTAGCCAGGTCCACCATTGTGCATTCAGATAAACACGTTTCTCATACTTCAGAACATGAAATCATACCACCTCCAGTGTCAACACTGCAGGTTTCCCCCAAAATGGCATTGTTATCCTTTCTGGTCCTTTGTCAGAGTTGATGAAGAGAAACATAGCAACATGGGCCTACTGTATACCTGCAGGGTAGCACAGTTAACAACGAGGGCCTACTGGAAACCTGCCAGATAGCACTGTTAACCACACGTAGGATCCAGCTGCAAACACAAATCAGCAAAGAATCCCGACTGCTGTAAAGTGGTTATATGGCCTCAAATTAAGTGGCAAAATCTGTAACAATCTAGAATCTAGTTGAATCGTAGCTAAGATATGTTGGCTGTTCTCGATCACTTTGGTTCCATGTAGATGCATAAGCTTCACATTATCCAGCTTTGGTGTCTTAGCTATCTTCTGTTGCTCTGATAAACAGCATGGCCAACACAACTGATAAAAAGACAGCATTTAATTGGGAGCTTGCTTAGCGTTCCAGAGGGTGAGGTCATCACATTCTGGTTGGGAGCATGTCAGCATGCAGGCAGGAAGTAGCTGAGAGCATACCATCTTATCCACAGGAAGGAGAGAGAGAGAGAGAGAGAGAGAGAGAGAGAGAGAGAGAGAGAGAGAGAGAGAGGAGAGAGAGAGACTGGCAAGGGCTTCTGAAACCTCCAAGGCCACCACCAGTGACATATTTCCTCCAACAAAATCACACCCCCTGGTCCTTCCCAAACAGTTCCACGAACTAGAAACCAAGCATTCGAAATATATGAGCCTATGAGGGCCATTCTCATTCAAATCACCATACTTTCCTTTGTAGGCCCCCACTTCCACAAATACACACCTGGATGGTGTGTGTGTGTGTGTGTGCGCACACGTGTATCTGGGGCTGGAACTCAAGGCCTCTAACATGTAAGCAAGCAAGTTGTCACTGAGACACACCTCCAGTCCTGTGTGTTTTTCCTTTTTCATATGGGTTCTGTGTGTTTGTGCATGGTGGTGTGAACTCAACCCAAGACCTTAGTTGCTTTGTTTTGAGGCTGGTCTCCCTATGTAACCCAGGCTGGTTCCATTGTGATCTTACTGCTTCAGCTCCCTGAGTGCGGGAACTGCACTTTGTGCAAACATACCTAGCTTAGACTGCTTTTTAGATATAAATCAAACCTTTGGAAGCAAAGGAAGAAACCAAACGGAAACACTTCTCCCTCTCTCGGGTTCTGGATTTTATAAAGGAAAGATTTATTTCCGTGCCCCCCAAAGTTATACATGGCCTAATCTGAACCTGACTTTGTGTTTCATGATTTCAGTTGCAGTACCTACCTCAGTTAACTAGCAGCAGCATCCTCCCGGCCTTGGACAATAAGAAGTACCACTGTAATACCAAGAAGTTTAACTACCATTTCCCAAATATTTAAGCAGCTGGCAGAGTGAAGAAGTGATCAATAATTTGAAGGGAAAAAAAGTATATATTTGATTCCTGTATTGACTACATATCAGGAGAAAACACAGACAGAAAGCTGGAGGCCACCTAGCAAGATATGAAGAGGAATTCCAGAGCCAGACTCCCATGCTTGGTGGGGGTGTCCCGAGAAGAAAGCAAAAGCTTGCGGTTCCACTGTGTTTGTGTATCTAAGCAGCGGGGCTGAAAGACAGAACAGAAACTCTATCTACTGCCCTTAAAGACAATAAAAGCCGCATCTACTGCCTGTAGCTGCAACAGTAGATCATGTCAGAAGGCAGGCTTCAGCTTGCTTTCTGGCACATGTGGAAAGGGGGTTATAAAATGTCCATATGTATTTCTTTAGATCCTATTATATCCTATCTCTGATGTTGGTTTCAAAACAAATTTAAGTATGATTTTGGTCCCTGAAATCAAAATGTATGTGATTCTATTTCCTGTATGCTCTTTCCTGGTTTTTGTGTTTTAAGACATGTTTTAGAATATCTAAGTTGATCAAAATATCTAATGTCTTAAAACTTTGTAGGTTTTGTGCGTATATAACCATGAGATACTTAGACATCTCTTACATAGATTTTTATCTTTACCCTGAGAAAGAATGCGTCTGAAAGGGATAGAACAAGACCTACAGGCCTCACAGAATGAGCCTGTCAGCCTGAAAATAATCATCACTTCGTTCTTCAGCTCCCCCTCATACCTGAAGACTGTTCTATAAGCAAAACTACTATAATGCTCTGGATTTAAACAAAATTGCTTGTGAACTGTAATTTGAATCAGGAAACATGTGGGTTAATTGAAACTCTCTTCTTGAAATATCTCTTATTATATACATCATGTATATGTACATGTCTGTAAACACACATTCCTACAACTGTACACATGTCTATGTGTACATACCATGCTAATGAAAAAGGCACAAGAAACAAGGAAGTGGTCAACAGTGAGACTTAAATTTACCTTTGATCTGGTTTATTATTCCTAGCAGCAAAGCTTTTCCTCCCTGCCCCTGGACACGGGCAATGTAAGCCCCATATCAGCATCTCACTATCATTTCCGGTTCATGTGCTGCTAGTTCACAGTTCTCAGACACAGGCTTCGAAGCTCTACTGCATCCCCAGAACATCTCTTCTGCGCTTTCATGACACCACTCAGCCCCAGTCACTGATCGCCATGCAGTTCACTAAATTCCGTCCTCTGTTCAGTAATCTTGGCTACTCCCAGGCAAATTACGACTTCCTAAATATATATAGCTTCTCCCACAGACCTGGCAGGGGCTGAATAACAGCTCCAATAGTTTTCAATTCCTCTTAATAGCCATGATTTAAATGACAAGGAAGGATACCAACTTCTGTGAGTAGTTCAAATTGCCTTTTTTGCCCGCTTAAATCAATAAAAATGTATTTGAAAAAAGCAAATGACTGTAACTGCCTAGTTTATTCAGTAGTTTTATAGAAAACTGCAGACTAGCAAAGTCTCTCCAGATGGAGTCAGGACGAACTGGCGGGTGGGCCACGCAGTACTGAAACAAACCTGAGATAAAAGGGTCTGACTGTCTTCAGTGTAATCTGTTACATTTATGCTCATGCTCAATGGGGCGATTTCTGCAAACCTCATCTTCCACACGGAATCACCACGCACCGCATGAGCCCATTCTACATGTGTTCTACCCTGTCTTTGTTCCTATTTACTATTTTCTGCCTTGTAAATGACAGGGATATATGTCATTTGCATTTTCCCACAAATGAGGGTGTTTTTCCACAAGCACAGTTCTAAAAACAGCTAACGCTCCCCTTTCTGCCTGAAACCTGCACTGCAGGTCATTCCCAGTCAGATTTACAGTCAGCAACCTGATAACCAACCATACATTACAGAAACCTACACACGAAACAGCATGTAACTATGACGATGGAAATACAGCTATTTCAAGTAAAACATTAAAGACTGATTTTAATCCCCTTATGACATTCTTTATTAGTGTTTTCTAGATATAAAATTCATTTTCATGTCCCTTGATTTCAAAGGAGGCAACATTCAAAATATTTGAGGGATAGCAAAATTTAGCTTTTAATCAACACACTAACATTTTGTTTGAAGCAGAAGGACAGTAGGGATTTTTTTGGTTCTTGTTTTGTTTTACCAGCAAAACTAGTTGAGATACAGACAAGAACCTGTGTTCAGTTTTAACCAGCACTGGCCCAATGTGTAGACCAGGCTGGCCTTGAACTCAGAGAGATCTGCCAGCCTCTGCCTCCCGAGGGCTGGGATTAGAGGCATGTGCCATCACCACCCTGTTATGCTGTAATTTTTTTTTTTTTTTTTTTTTTTGGATTTTTCGAGACAGGGTTTCTCCATAGCTTTTGGTTCCTGTCCTGGAACTAGCTCTTATAGATCAGGCTGGCCTCGAACTCACAGAGATCTGCCTGCCTCTGCCTCCTGAGTGCTGGGATTAAAGGCGTGCACCACCACCGCCCGGCTTACGCTGTAATTTTTAAAGTGATCCAATGTACATAATTTCTCACTTCCAACTAAGTAACTTTAGCGAGTCACGTTTACACATTTACTTTCCAGCTAATGTCCAGTCTCCACTCCCAAACTGTCTCTCAGTCCTGCGGTGGCTAGGTCGTGTTTGCGGCTATTGAGCATTAGCACTTTCAAATGGCGCTTTAAACTGAGAGCACAGACTTATTTTACTTCAGGTTTAATTTCAGCTCTAGAGCAGGCAGTGCTGTCTTGAAGACTTGGGCAAGACTGTCTTTATCTTTCACTCCAGGAAGATCACTTAAGAACAAATACCTGAGGTTCCTGCAAACAGGAGAAAACAAAAGTCACTGCAGCTTGTTTAAGTTTGTAAAAATGAGTTCAGTTTAGAAAAATAACATGCACAAGGTATTTATATCACCCCACACCTTCCGAATGGCTTCTAGAGTAACAGTCTTGGAAGGCTACTTTAAATGAAACTCATGCAAGACTTAAATTATCATTTTTCCTTATTTCACTGACATTTCTGAGTCTCTTTTATTTCTATAACATACAAAACAGATCTCCTTTGTTTATAAAATATAATAACACAAACAAACAACCTCCCTGAAGTCCTTAAAGGTACTCAAGTTTCTATAAGAGGAAGAAGCTTGAAGCCTCCACTAGCGTTAAGATAAAGGAATGGTCTAGTTACTTTGACTCTAACGTTCAAACATCTCCAACTGCCCGTGATGCTGAGATTACTGCTACCTACTCTGATCAAGTTTTTGTTTTGTTTTTGACCACTTACCTAAAATGTCGCAAAGCAATGATGCCGTTGTCTGTGACATTCCCACAGGCAATTATTTCCATTTCCAACAGGCTTTTTCGTAACTTTTCAAGTTGACTGAGCCTCTGCAAACAGTTGTCTTCAATGTAATGACACTTGCACAGTGTTATTTTCTCAACATGCTCTAGGCCCTCTGTGGGGAAAATTCAAAGTTTAAGAATCTATCTTATTATTACCATGACTAATAGTCCTTGGTTCACCTAGGACGGGACTGTCCTGGCTTTGCCCAGTCCATGGAAACTGGAGTGTCTGCTCACCTACTGACCACACATGACAGACTTGGGCTGGTGCAAGGGCCACTCTGAAAACCCCACATGAGCAGAAGCTGTCTGGATATTAGTCTTATGTTCACAAAGACATCCGTTTGATTCAGATAGTCTGACAAAATCAAGAGGCTTTGCATTTTAAGTGAACAAAAGAACACAGAAAGACGCTCCTACAGGAGGAAGGAAGGAAGGTGTCTATCACATGATCTCTATTCACTTTGAAGATAAATATCTAATACAGGAATAAACTAGCAATTTTACTGAAATGTGCAAAAACAAAAACATGAGTATAATGGTGAGCAAACTGCAGCAAACCCTCATTGTGAATCGCCTGCATGCCCTACAACCAAGTGGCAGGGACTCACCCATGTGCTCCAATCCAATGTCCATGATACAGGAATCGGTGGCATCAATTGCTTGGATCTTGTATCTGTCCACGGAGCCTCCTGGGAGGTTGTTGTAGTCCGCTAGCCACTTCTGGTGGCCACAGTAGCGTACTTTGGCCCCACACCGAAGTAGCCATTCAGATGCTGCCCTGTCAGGGCCAACATCCCTGATGCGTTCGTGATCTACTCTGTTGACAAGGAAACAGAGTGGTTTACTTCCACTGTCACCCGTTCCTCAGTTGTGTTCGCCAATATAAATATGGGCCAGAAATACCTTTTTACTCCAAATGAACTGAGGAGTAAATACATTAACGAGATCCATAAAAATAAAAACTGTAGCTCTCTGTAGCTGTTTCTGCTTACTTTTTCCCCTTTTCCTTCCTTCCTTTTCTTTCTTTCTTCCTTTCTTTTTTCTTTCTTTAGTTTTAATCTCTGATAAGATATATTAATATGATTACTAACATTTTTGAGGCACTGTCCCACTCAGGCTAGCTTTGACCTCATGATCTTTTTTCCCCTTTGCCTCCTCAGTGGTGAGATTACAGGTATGTGCTCTCATATCTGCTATGGTGAGATTTTATTTTATTTTATTTATTGTTTTGGTTCTGGGACTTAAACCCAGGTCCTCCCTGTATTAGGCAAGCATTCATATGTGTCATGGAGCTTGACAGAGATCCCTAACACAATATAGTGACTATCTGGGAACCGTTTTTCATTACTGAGAAAACACTAAAGGTATGGTGGCACACACTTTGAATCGCAGCACTCGGGAAGCAGAGGCATGGATCTCTATGAGCTTGAAGCTAGCCCGGTCTGTAGATTGAGTTCCAGGACAGCCAGAGCTACATAGAGAGACACTGTACAAACAAACAAATGGCTAAAAAGGGAATAATTTTGAAGCCATTTTCAAATTAGTCTCTTAGTGCTATTTACTAATTTCTGCAAATGCCCTTTTTTTGCAGTCGCAATGGTGAGATTAGGCAGTAAGTTTGTTGTACCTGTCTCAATATGGTACTTCTATGAGTATGCCATATACTAAGTTTTAATTTTTTATTTATTTTATTTAAATCTTTCTGTATGTAGTCCTACTGTTCTGGAATTCACTATATAGACCAGGCTGACCTTGAATTCACAGAAATTCCCCTGCATGTCTCTCAAGTGCTGGGGATTAAAGGTGTGAGCCACCACCACATCTGGCCACACTAAGTTTTTAAACACCATAGTTCTCCTAATAGGACTCGACAGGCTATTAACATTCCTCAAGAAGCTAGAGAATGAAGATTTCAAAGTTATTTCAAACATACTGTTGAGTATAAAAAGAATAAAAATTCATTTTAGATAACTTAAAGGATATGAATACACAAATAAGAAAAAGTCTACTTGGGGCTGGAGATGGCTTGCTGGGTAAAAACACTTACTGCTCTTACAGAGGACCTGGGCTCAGTTCCCAGTACCTACATGGTGGCTCACAGCTATCTATAGCTCCAGTTCCAGGTGATGATCCTTCTAACCTCTGTGGGCACCAGGTACACAAATGGTGCACACCCATATATGCATGCAACATATAAAGTAAAAATTTAAAAAAATCTTAAAAAAGAAAAAAAACACTAATAGTGTATAACTCAGACAAGCAATTCAATATTTTGTAAGCTATTTTTCTGTTTAAGTATGCTTTATTATTTGTAAAAATATTAGCATCTTACTGTACATATTGTTCAAAAGAGAAATAATTTGAAACACAAGAAATAAGCAAGTAGCCAAAGAGTGATTTGGAGCCTGTCCAGTTATAAAAATCCCCACATTTCTTCACTTAGTTAGAGTCACTTACTTATTAAACACTGTATTCAACCATTCCCAGAAGTATCTGGAGTCACATGACCGTGGGATTTTCTTTAAGCTGCAGAGTTGCCTCGAAATCTTTCCGAGCACCATCATGTGATCTAGACACACAAAACAGTGCTCTCGTGAGCTCGTGGGCCAGAGCCCGCACCTCTGGTAAGTGCTCCACACTCCAGCGTCAGTCTTGTGCCAACAGCAGATGCCACCGACCAGACACTTCTGTCTCCAGTTCTTGGGTTTCATTGGTTTCTTATTTGCTCAAAAGGAAAGGTTGGGACTAGGTGATGTCTAAGGTTCCTTCTAGCTTAAATTTCATTGTTTGAACCTTAATTGTCTGCAGTGCTGCCCTTAATGCTTATTTTCTGTATAACTATAGATTTGTTCAAACCAGCTCCACTGGTATATATATTTCAAAAACAAAATGACAAACTATGGTCCCATAGGGAACAATGTGGCAGGGTTACAGTATTCCCATCCAGGCAGAGAAAAGAAAATAAAAGCAGATCTATTTGGAATAAAGATACAAGTGGGTCATCAGAGCACAAACAAACCTATGCTAGACAGGAGAGGAGCCTGGACAAGCAATTTCACTTCTCTGACTCTGGATTTTTTTCATTTGTGAAAAGAGAAGATTTGTTCAGATGGTTTCCAGCCACAAGCTGAGAAAATAATTTCTGATTAAGTCTCGATAGATTTATCTCAATTCAAGTTCTCCAGTAGTGGGTCAGGTGTGAGGGTTAGGGGCTACAAGAAGAGTAAAATGTGGTCTCTATCTTTGAGGAAATTACAAGTCAATCCAGGATGGAGTGGCCCACATTGCCAAGTAGTTAAAATAAATGACAAGACTTGATGTAAGCCTTGAAGGAGCTAAAACAAGGACAGAGATGATTCAGTGACAAAAAAAGCCAGGCAAAGCAATGAGAAGTCGCAAGTCAAAGAGGGAAATAAGGCAGGCTGTCGGTCACTCTGGCTGTACATGGAGGTCGGGAAAAGAAGTCAGACACTGCACTGCCCGGTCGCAAAGCTCCTGCAGCCAGGGGGTCTGGACTACATTCTGCAGACAGCAGAGAGTCGCTGAGATGTAAGATCAGAGCACTGGCATTGCTGAAGCTGTGCTCCAGGGAATTTACTCAGACAGCAGCGGCAAAACCAAAGATCAAGTCAGACGTGGTGACATGGTCCTATATCCTAGCTATTTTAGAGGTTGAGGCAGGAGGATCACTTGAGCACAGGAATTTGTGTCTAGCCTGAGCAATATAACTACAATCTGTTTATAAATAAATAAATAAATAAATAAATAAATAAAAAATGGTACAGAAATAGCTAACAAGGGCTCCAAAGGAAAGCACTTAGTCACAGAAGGATACGACACCGTTAGAGTTAAGATTCCATACGGTTCAGTAAGGGGCGTATAGAGACAAGAGCTAGAAGAGTTGAATATGACAACTGGATCATTGGCAGGACGGTGATGTCCTCATTAGATGCCAATATCAAGGATGGTTCGATGACCCACAAACATGAGGGCCTGAGTTTGGACCCCCAGCATTTATATAAAAAGCCTATTTGGTAGCACGCACCTATAATCCCAGTGGTAGAGAAGTAGAAACAGAAAGATGCCTTGCTGGCCAGCCTGTCTAGCCTAATTGGCAAGTCTCCAGGATCAGTGTGGGGACCTCTAAGAAAGAAGGTGGAAATGAAACAGGGCCTCAGAACTTAGCACAACTGATTACATGAAGGAAATACCACCCAGGTCACAAAACTTAGCATGTAGACAGCATCACTGGTCAAAATGAAAACAAAGACCTAATCTATCAAAGCTCATAGTTACGGGGATGTCTCTAAATATACCAACCTTGTATTTTGGCTTCTTTTGTTCTACTTCTGGCTAACTATTCTTTTTAACTGAAGTATGTCAATATAGAACATGGCTTTTGTGCTTAAAAGCTCACCATGAGAAAGGCTTGGGGCTATGCTGGGATCCCAAATGCCCAGTGTAGTCACCAGTCAGCTAATAAAGACTTTCTATGGGCTTAACCCCATGTCTGATGGATATCCCACAACAGAAAGTGAGGAAGACATCCAATGCTGAGCACATGCAGACACACAGATGTGAGCACAAAAGGACATACATGAACACATACCTACCATGGTAAGTAAGTGAACAGGGGACAGGGTTGTGGGCTCAGTTTTTTTTCTCTTAGATTTTCGTATTCTAAATATGAAGTGTTGGCAGGACTCCTAAGGGAAGATGACCAACAAAATCACTGGAATTAGAGTCACAAGGTGTTAGAGCTGGAAGGAACTTAAGTCAGCCACACAAAACCTCTCATTTAGAGGTGAGGAAACTGCAGCCTTGATATTAAGTAACATGCTGACACTTTAAATCCTTTCTGGAACAAGGCGGGGCATTAATAAGTGTATGTGTCTAAAGGAACTTGCTCAATGTTTCATTGAGAATTTGTGTCAGTATCGTATTTGAACCTAGTGCTCTTCCCTGCCATGAGGTCTCTAACTCTAGATGATTCTAGAACTCAAGAGAGAGAAGAAGACTTAGAAGATGCCTGAGTGGGAGGCATTCTGAAGCTGGGAAAGGGTAGGATGCAGTGAGCGTGAAACTGATGGCGGAATCTGGGAATACCCACCACACATGCTCTCCCCCTTCTCTGTCTCTCCCCAGCCCCTCCCTCTTTGGCAGTGCTGGGAACTGACCACCAGGCTGAGTTCCTGTTAGGCAAGTACTCTACCCTCTAACAGATGGTCCCCTCAGCCTCCATCTTTGTCTTCATCACCACAGACCTCTGCCTCCATTGCATCCCGCAGTCTCAGCCTTGCTAGACATTTGTTCAGTTCTGTCCACCTATGCCCACCCTAACGAGTCCTTTGTTGCCAATTTCATTTACAAATCTGGGCTTTCTCATCCTCTACTTGGTTGAGACCTGAATACTTTTGCTGGAGTCAATGTGGTTCACTTTTTAATCCAGCTTAAATAAAGGTAAGGGCAGTTTTATTTCAGTTATGATTTCTAAAAACATTATATGTTATCTTTAAACCAAGTTACAGTAAAAAAATTAAGTTTATATATAGAAATAAAGGCTTAAAAACCTGGTGAGTTTTTACATTTTCAACTTCAACTTTGTGGACTGACATCTGAGAAGCACTTCCTGCTGAAAAGCAAGCAGCTAGCAGGGAGAATCCTTTCTACATGGAAAGAGGAGACCTCTAGTGGTGAGTTAGTAAATGGGACGCTAGTGAGTTAAACCAGTTAAAAGCAGATTAGAAAATCCTTGCTATATGACTGGTGCCATAAGTAACCTAGGAATTTAAATTATAAAAAAGAAAACACACCTCTGTTTACTATCATAAGCAGCTCTAAGTTTATAACAGTGATTCTAAAATTTGCAATTATATTTGTTAATTAATCAAAGCCAGATCTCTAATGTGTTAACACACACACGTTTATTCATTTAATAAATGAATATTAAATTCTGTTCTTCTAGAAAACCCTGACTAATACAAGCAGTAAGTGCCTTTTTTTTGCAGTCTTAACTACTAAGTCATCTCTCCAGCCCCTGTACAAAACCCTGAAGATGACAAAATTATGGAAAGGAAGAATGGCAGGAGGGTTATCAGGGGAAGCTGTAAGTTGTGATTATAAAGAACATCTGGAGAGATCCTTGTGATGTAACTGTTATCTTGATTATGTCGGTGGGCATAACCCTCTACACACAGAGAGGAAACACTGGGACAGCTCTCTGAGAGAATCCGTCGACCACCGGTGTGACATTGCACTACGGTTTACAGGATTTTATCACCAGGGAGATGGACAGATGGTGTGATAGCTAATCCGGTGGTCAACTTGACTGCATCTGACCCTAAAGCCCAAGTTCCTGGGCACTTCAGGAAGGGGATTTCCTTCAGATTATTTGAAGCAGTAAGACCCACCCTAAATCTGGGCCATATCTTCTTGTGGCCGCCCAGATAAAGGGATACAAAAGGGAACTTTGTTTTTTGCTCTCTTACCCTCAATTTTGATGGCAAGTTCATCTATCTTACAGGACATTCACACACACAATCTTTTTGTCCTGTTTCTTTAGAGAACACCGACTAATACAGATTATGGTTCTAGAGAAATGGAATCGTAAGGATGAACTTTTCTAGTAAGCTTGGTGGTTTCTGGACCTGGCTTTCCAACTTGCCAAAACCTACACTACTGAATGCTCGCAGAATGCTACAAGTCCGTGGTGTGGGCTATTTAAAGAACTTATTGAGGTAAGTTCACTTGATGACTCTGATTCTCCTCTTTTGAGAAGCAAGGAATTTAGTGTCCTATACATAAATAAAAAAGACAATTTACAAAAAAAAAAAAGGGAAATGACAGTGCAGGCTGATTACTCTGGCATCTCTGGATAAACTGACAATGGAGGAGAATGAGCTCAGCGATAGAATTAATGAGATGTACATAAGCAAATAAAAATTTCTAAGTGTACACTGGAAGAGAAGAGAGCCCAGGTTGCTGAACACAAAACCTCATTTTAAAATTAGCTGAATTACAGCGGAAATACAAGGCCCTGCCTCAGAAGGTGTTGGCACTTGAAGTAAGAGCACCGGCTGGTGAGGATGGGATTCCGTGCCTTGGGATGGAGATGTGTGGGAGGATACTGAAGACTTGGAACTCTAAGACTCTGGAGCGTTTATCTCATTTGAGGAAGAAGTTTCTCTACCCTTAGCAGAAGCATCCCTACCCTGAACCCTGCAGGACTGCCCTCTCTACCCATGCCTGAGGGAATAAACCCTTCATTGGCTGCTGAACTGGCAGTGACATTTTCTGAAGGAGATGCCATGCAAGAAACATTGATGGCCCTCAGCACCCACCAACAGTTGCCTCTGTACCTGTAACCAGACTCAAGGCTAAGCAGGCTCCTAGAGGTGAGAAAGTAGCCCTTGAGGAAATGTGCTATACCACTAAAGAACTTGGTAATTTTGCCAATTCATTTAAGCAAAACTCTGGGGAAATTATATGGGAATGAATTTTTAAAATATGGGATAATGGTGGAATATAAAACTGCATCAGGCTGAGTTTATAAATATGGGGCCACTGAGTGGGAACTCTAGGTTTAATATGGCAGCTCACACAGCTTAAAAAATGTCTTAGGTTTGACAGATTGGATGGAGAGCTTGTCAAAAAGATATTCTACAGAAAAGGAGCTGCAGACATATGACACTTTGGCTTAGTATTGATGAGGGATTTTAAGGTTCAGGGAATTGGAATGCTGGAGTGGGTACATGTAAAACCCAGCTCTCTACAATGGGAGGGCCCAGAAGACATGCCCTTCAATAACCCCGTAACACTTAAAATGCCGGAGTGGCACCAGCACATTGAAAAGCTTTTGTTGTCACTTGCTCTTCTTGTGCCAGACACTGCTGCTCAACTGAAGTAAATGTGATAGGTTTGTGTCCTGGATTAGCAGGGGTCAGGGGGCATTAAATCACCAAAAGCAAATGAGTATAGTTATTATAACTGGCAGCAGAGGCGAAGCAAGGCTTACAATGGCCTAACCTGTATGGACCTTTGGTACCGGCAAGAGGCCTCAGGGTTGTTTGTTTGTTTTGTTTTCATCTACTTAAGCAGAAAAACTCAAGAACCAAAGAAAGGAAGGCTACATTGTCGCATAGCAGTAGGGAATCTGGTCACCAACCAATTTCCAGACTCATCCAGTGTATAGATCCAGAACCCCTTGAGAAAGGAACCAGACCCTTTTATAACTAGGACTTAGAAAATTTTTGAAACTTTTAAAGACTGCAGGACTCTTCTGTTTATTTATTTAAGCCACCTCCTCCCACAGCAAAAGGATAGAAGGTTACGGTATAATGGTCACTATCTGGTAGAAGGAGAGACGAGCTTGGTGTCTTGCATGCTTTTGTGGTCCACATGCAGAGTAATGGCTAAACCAGGGCTGTGTGTGGCCTCTTGCTGCCTGGATGAGGGTCCAGATTCTTTTTACTCACCTTCAGAGCCAGTGGAAATGGATTAACATAAGAGTTATGGAGGTGGGTATGGCTACCACTGCCCCAGGGGAAGGCTTGGTCCTGATCCAGAGATGGGGAAGGCAGCTAACATGGGTTTCTAGTGCTCTTCACAATCCAGGGAAACGCTCAGCATCCTAACTCCCATCCTGGGCAGTGCTATGAAGGAGGTGAGGGCCTACACATTTGAGCTGAGCTCTCTTTGCAGGAGGCGTCACTTGACATGGGCTGTCCCACCCCTTTCTGGTTCAGCAGCAGACACCAGGATGCCACACTGCTACAGCTGACACCATCTTGTATCTGCTGACTGTGGGACTTTTAAAGTTATACTTTGGGGGCTGGAGGGATGGCTCTGCAGTTAAGGGCACTGGTTGCTCTTTCAGAGTATTCAGATTTGATTCCTAGAACCCACATGGCAGCTTATGAGTATTTGAAATGACAGTTCCAGAGAATCCAAGGCCCTCTTCTGGCTGCCGTAGGCACCAGGCACATACATGACACACAAACATACATGCAGGCAAAACACCCATACACATAAAAGTTATACTATGCTCTATATTGTGAAAGTCATAGTAACACAGTAGGCTGGAGAGATGGCTCAGAGATTAAGAGCATTGCCTGCTCTTCCAGAGGTTCTGATTTCACTTCCTAGTACCTACATGGTGGCTCATAACCACCTACAATGAGATCTGATGCCCCCTTCTGGTGTGCAGGCAAACGTGCAGACAGAACATTATATACATAATAAATAAATAAATCTTAAAAAAAAAAAGTAACAGCATCTTGGGAACAAAGAAGGAAGGGAAGTTTACGGTTTAATAGTGATGCGTTTGTGTCACGCTGACAAGAGGCCATAGTCTTGGTTTTTGGTCAAATTGACACTAGCTAGAGTCATCTGGGGAGAGGGACTCTCAATTAAGAAAATTCCTCTATATGATGGAGGATGGGGCATTTTCTTGATCAATGGTGTGGAAGCGCCAAGCACACTGTAGGTAGCACCACCCCTGGACAGATGGTCTTGAGGTATACAAGACAGAACACTGAGCAAGCCAGTAAGCAGCACTCTTCCATGGCCTCTACTTCAGCTCCTGCTGACTTCCCTCCACAACGGACTATAAGCTGCAAGATGAAATGAATCCTTTCCTCCTAAGTTGCTGTTGGTCACGGTGTTTATCACAGCACTAGAAAGCAAAATAGGACACACGGGATCTCTATTACTTCTTACAACTGCATGAGTACCTACAGTTACCACAAAATAATACACTGAATTTAAAGAACAACTGTGGTTGTTTGAAAGAACAACCACACTCAAAGGGAGTGGCACTATTAGGAGGTCTGGCCTTGTTGGAGGAAGTGAGTCACTGTAGAGGTGGGCTTTGAGGTTTCTATATGCTCAAGATACCCCAGTGTCTCAGTCTACTTCCTGTTGTCTGCATATCAAGATGTGGCCAGCACCATGTCTGTCTGCATGCCACCATGCTCCTGGCCATGAGGATAATGGACTGAACCTCAGAAAATGTAAGCCACCTTAACTAAATGTTTTCCTTTATAAGAGTTGCCATGGTCGTGGTGTCTCTTTACAGCAATAGGAACCCTAACTAAGAAAGAAGTTGGCACAAGGAGTAAGATATTGCTATGACTGGCCTGACCATGTTTCTGTGACTATGTTTCTGTTTGGAGGAATTTGGACTTCGGTTCTTTGCGTTAGGAAAGCAGTGGAATGCTTTAAGCACTGCTTATGGACCATACCAGTAGGGGCATGGAAGACAGTGGTGCTAAGAGCTATTTGAATTGTGAGGGGCTGGCTCAAGAGGTTTCAGAGGAGAAGAATTTTAGTATGTTGCCTAGAGATCATTCTTGTGATATTTTGGTGATATTTGGCTGCTTTTTACCCTTGCCTAAAAAGTTTGCCTGAGACTAAAGTGAAGGGTTTTGGATTAATTCCTTTGGCAGATCTCAAATCTCAAAACAGCCTAGTATAGACTCTATTATGTGGTTATTAGTGGTAACTCTAATGAAGATTTATAATGAAAAGGAGCAAACTGAGCAGGGATAATTACAAAATATAAAATGTAAGGAACCACAAAAGTAGGATGGAACTAAGTCCTATGTTCAAGGAGACAGAGTAAGAACTGGAATTAAGGAAGTGGTGACTTCAGGACAAACCCTTCCTAGCCAAGGAACTAAAGAGAAGCTTAGAACCCTTAGTCCTAACACTTGAAAGGAGGAGGCTTGTGGATCTCTGAGTTTGAGGCCAGCTTAGTCTAAAAAGCAAATTCCAGAATAGCCAAGCTTAGGTAGCAAAGGACAGAAAGTTGGTGAAGACATAATTGAATGAGAAGCTATGTTCCAGCCCCAATGAGCAGCAGAACTTGGCAGCTTTGGCCACCTAGTCTGGCTTAGAGTCCAAGACAGAAGAAAGGCATTAGTGCACCTTCCTCTGAGAAAAGGAAAGCTGCTGAGGCCAGGCATATGTCAGGGGTGTCCTGAATGGAGGCCTAGAGAGGCCACTGCGTGAAGCTGCAGAAAGTTGAAAGCAGTTAAAAGAGCTGAAGAGCGCTCTGACATCAGACACGGAGACGCAGAGTCTGGAGTTTGCCCAGCGGGTGTTTGGGCTTGCTTTAGTCCAGTATTTCCTCACTATGCTCCCCTCCCTACATTTTGGAATGGTAATGTATATCCTGTGCCATTACATATTGGAAGTATGTGATCTGCTTTTTTATTTTGATTTTACAGGTGATTACAGTTAAGAGATTGCAGGAATCTCAGAAGAGACTTTGAACTTTAGACTTTTAAGTAAGTTTAGGAGTGGTAGACTATGGGGTCTTTTGAAGCTGAACAGAATGCATTTTTGCAACATGATATGGGTACAAGCCTTTGGGGGCTAGGGAGTGGACTGTGGTGGTTTGAAAGAAAATGGCCCTCTCTGAGGCTCGCGTTGGTGGTGCACGCCTTTAATCCCAGCACTCAGGAGGCAGAGGCATGCGGGTCTCTGTGAGTTCGAGGCCAGCCTGGTCTACAGGCGCTAGTTCTGGGAAGGCACCAAAGCTACAGAGAAACTTTGTCTCAAAAGAAAAAAAAATTGGCCCTCAGATGGAGTGGCACTATTAGGAGGTATGGCCTTGTTGGAATAGGAGTGGTCTTGTTGGAGGAAGTGTGTTACTGTGGAGGTGAGATTTGAAGTTTCATATATGCCTGTATGCTCAACATACCACCCAGTGTCTCAGTATACTTCCTGTTACCCGTATATCAAGATGTAGCCGGCACCATGTCTGCCTGCAAGCCACCACGCTCCTGGCCATGATGATAGTGAACTAAACCTCTGAAAACGTAACGAGCCACCTCAGTGAAATGCTTTCCTTTATAAGGGTCACCATGGTCACGGTGTCTCTTTACAGCAATAGAAACCCTAACTAAGACACCAACTGTCCATGCTCTTCGTCTGTGATGGAATAAACAGGGAACACGGTTTCTTCCCCACCAACGAAACAAAACATCTAGCACTGCTCATGAGACAAACCATTCGAGCCTAATAAAAAGCTAATGCTTCATTGAGTTGAGCATCTGGTGACTATCCTCATCTACACTATTACCTGCTCAGTGGCACTAGTAAGCAGAAAAGTGGCTGAGGTCTGATGAGGTGTCCCTGAGCCGGAGCCACCGACTAGCTGGAACCAACATTTAACCAACAAGTCCTCCCAGTGATAGTTCTACCGTTCTGTTATGGTCCTGTTAAGCCGTTCTAAGCCGAAGAACAAAGAACCACCATCAAGCAGAGACGGGAACTACATCGGTATGGTGACAAAGAATCACACATTTTAACAGAGTTATAAGAGCCTTAGGTGATTGTATTGCTTTCATTTTTACAGTAGAGGAAACACAGTAAAGTGACCTGCTCCATGAATGGCTATTCTAAGACATGGACATTTAAAACTGTGTCTTGGTCCAGTGACAGGGTTGGGCTGGAGAGAAAGCTCCGCGGCTAACTGGTCTTGACCAAGGACCTAGGGTTGGTTCCCAGCGCCCACATGGTGGCTCACAATCATCCAAAACTTCCAGTTCCAGGGTATCCTTTATTCTCTTTTCTCGTCTCTGCGGGTTCCTGTGCACACGTGTTGCATATAAACACACACAGTCACAAATAAGTCAGCCTTTTTTTTTTTTTAAAGGCACCATATGATGCCGAGCTGTCTACTTTCACCCAGCACCTAGCTCAGCGCCCAATATTTACAAGCTGAGTCAGTAGTCGAATGAACAACACCATCAGGAGCCCCACGAAGGGTCCAGAAGCCTCCGGCCCGGTGGCGACAAACACAGGCAGGAGGTGGTTCAGCTGCCAGTCCCTGGCTCCCGGGCCAGGGCGTTGCCAACAGACCAGGGGCATGGCCGAAGGACAGGCCGCGGCAGCCAGAGGTCACCTCGCCACGCAAGGCCTTCTCTGGCGGCCCAGCGCAGGCGTCCAAGGCCCGCCGAGGCCCGGGAGAGCCGAACCACCACCCGATCCCCGCCGGCGCCCTCGCTTGTCTACTCACGAAGCGCGGCGTCCCTGCGTCTGGCCGGCCCTTCGCCCTCTATATTTTCCCCTCCGCCGCGCTCGCCCATTGGCTAGCACAGGCCACGCCCACGTAAGACAAAAGCGTGCATTTCATTGGCCTTCGCTTGGGGGCGGGGCTGGAGAGCGGGGCACTTCACCCGTAGAGTCGTTCAGGCTGCTGCTGCTGGGGTTAAGGAAGGAAAGGTGGCGTAGGCGATGTGGCCGACCCTGCGTTACTTAGGCACTGCCTGCAGTCTGGCTCGATGTCGCTTTGCTGGAGGTTTCCTCCCGGCAAGCGAGCGGACGCCTGGGGGGCCGGGGCTGCTGTGCTGGGGTGACCGCAGCTTCAGCACTAGGTAAGTGAGTGGCGGTGGCCTGCGTTTGCAGCTCCCCTCTGAGAAGTCTCGAATTGGATCCGACTCGACGTCTCTGTCCCTGGAGATGAAGTCCTGATATTGTGGTCCGGCCTTGGACTCCAGGAGCTGCTGAACCTGCGGGGTTCATCCGCAGCATTTGTGGGCGGGAGGGGGTGGCAGTGTTGATTGGAGGCTCAGGAGCGAATTTGTCTCCGAACACAACCCTCTTCTCCGTTTCTTAACCACTTTAAAGGCTGAATGGTGAATAGGATCCTAGTCTGGCCCCTAGATGGTATTTTGAGGATTAGGGAACTTAGTACACTGTAAATAAGTACGCTAATTCTTAGCTAGCTAACATTCCCCGTGTTGCATGGAAGATCCAGAACTAGGCTTCAGTAGGTCAGTTCCTTGCACACATTAGACTTGTAACTGAGAAGCAACTCAGTTGCCTACTGTAAGCTGTCTAGGAAAGCCGGCAAATGCAGTGTTCTATGCGCAAGCTTTAAGGGGGAAGGCTTTCGGTTTTTTTTGAGACAGGAAGGTGAGCCAGCCGTGTGAATATGATTTTAGTGGACGACAAAAGTGTGGAAAGACACTTGAGAGGCACAGTGTCACAGCAGTTCTTTTGTTTGAGCCACACATTAAATTTTAGTCGAAGGACCATAGAAGCTGTTAAATGGTGTCGAAGCAAGGTTTCCCTAGGTAGCCCTGGCTGTCCTTTAACTCCCAATGTAGATCAGGCTGGCCTCCAACTCTCAGAGATCAGCTTGCCCTTGCCTTCCAATTGCTGGGATTCAAGGTGTGTACCACCACACCTGCTCTACCTTTTGAGACAGGATCTCTCATGGAGATTGGCGGGCCAGTAAACTCCAGGGATCCACATGCCTCCGTACCCTACCTATCCCAAGGATGGGTGGAGCCAAGCTTTTACATAAAAGTGCTTGGGTTCTCGTGTGTGCACAGCAAGCCTTTTACCAATTAACCATTTCCCTAGCCTCTCCCCCACCCCAAATTTTATACTTTTTATTTTGGAGCAATTGTAGATCCATAGGAAGTTGCAAAAATCACAGAATGGTTTTATGTCGCCTTCTCCATTTCCCACCGTTCTTCCAGTGTTGGTATAGTACAACAGCAAATCCAGAAAATTAATATTGATACAATGCAGCTTTTATCAGCTTTATATGCACTTTGTGTTCTGTGTGGAGCTCTATGAAGTTTAATCAGACGTTGTTTAATCCCCTCAATTTGGGCATCGAAATATTCCATTGTGGACACGGGCACAGGTGCCCACCAAGATGGCAGAGCCCAGTTGTCAGGCAGCTCCTCCTGAGGCTAGATGAAACCCTAACGGCTCTCCACACTTCAGTCAGGCATTGAGCTACAGTGCCTGCCCTGGGAGCAAAATGAATGATGGTATCTTTCAAGTGCTGGCCTCAGTGATGGGCAACGGTGTCACCAATAAGAAGTGAGTGCCAAGGCAAGTCTGGACAGCAAGGGGTCAGTCAGCCAGATCAGCGTCTATTGCAAGAATGCCAATGATACCCTAGAGTGGGGTCAAGCTACACAGTCTTCAAAAGCTGAACTCATCTGCTAGTGGCCAGATGTCTGTGCTTCACCTTAAGGAGGAATATGGCTTCAACTCTGCAAATAAAGAAAAGGTAGCTGCATTTTCCAGTGCAAGGCTGTTTGGCCCTGGACATCATGGACTCCCAAGAAGGCTCTTTTATCTAGTGTCAGGTGCAGAATGACTCTTCCCTGAGGAAATGGACCTGCTCTGGAGACAAGTGAAGAAACACCGGCAATACTATTGTCAGGTAACTCCACCAGAGAACACACATGGACACTCTTAACGCTGAGTAGAAAGTCTGTATTGCCGTAGCCAGTGGCCGCACAGGGAACCTGCCCAAGTCACGCAGCCCCGAACCTCTCTGCTCTTTGACTTTTATGTCCAAAACACATCCTGGTTGACACCCTTTGATTAGGAGGAACAGTTAATGAAAGTGAAAGTACAGAAGCCAAAAAAGCGAGGTTAGTGCATTTAGGAACTTCCCTGGATGTTGGAATTGTGCACTAGGTCTTGGATGGACTAGATCTTCATTCTTGTACTGGCAGGTTTTGAGGCCTACATGCTGGGTTCTAAGGTCAGAATGGTACTTCCAACATGGCGTCGGTTGTGCTAAGGTCTGGCAGCCTGTTACATCTCTGGAGAGAAGAACCTTGTCCACAGCCTATCCTCCCATGGGGCACCCATCATTTGTCTCATGTAGTGGGCCCCTATCCTCATCGCCCCTTGTTCCACTTTTACCCACAGTTCTCCTAACCTCCCTCCCTGCTCCCCGAGAGCTCATGATAAATGATAAATGCGCCATCATTGTTGGAGCTAAGCTGAGGAAGGTGCAATGGACAGAAAATTCATTCAAAGACTCTAGTCTCAGCAGAGCCTCAACATCTGATTCTGTCTGGGAGGGCAAAGAGCGACAAGGCTGGCCAAGGAGCTGAACTAACTTCGGGTCAAAAGAATGCAGCTTGCAGCTTCCCAGACAGATGAGCCACTGACAGAGGAGACAAGCTGAAAGGAGAACCCTAACACCTCCAGCACCGCTAAGGATCTGAACCCTCAGCGGCCACGCAGCTCCTTAGATGTCTGTGGTGACAAGCCCGAAATTAAGAGCCACTTTCAGTTGCATCTCACTCTAAGGATAGTGCGAACGGCACGTGTGTGGACGCCCGTGAAACAGGGGCCCTTAGAAGAGGTTGTCTTGAGAGAGGTGAAGAACATTGACTCCATCGGGTGGGCCATTAGAGAACAGGAGGGACTAGAGGACCCAGCCTGTGAAGACTGGGATGTACGTGTCTCCACCTATGACACAACATTTAAATGGGAAATCAAGTTCGACTCCTGGATTCTTTTATTTTTTTTTTCATAGAGTCTATCTGATTCAGAATATCAGGGCTATTCTTTTTCTGTATGTTTTATATTTGATTAAGTGAACATGTCTCCGGTGTATAGAGAACATTCCCAGATTATCTTCTTTGTTAGATGGCTTTCAAGTTTTCTCGCAGGTGATGCTGTTGCTGCCATGGCAGTGAGCAGCAGGGCCTGGTCTAGTCTTGCCATGCTTTGGAGTCGTGGTAACTGTGGTGTTAACAGTATGTACGTACAGTGTGTGTGTGTTCTGACCGCACAACAAACGGTTCGTTGTTGATAAGTAACTAAGATGCTCCGTCGCCACAAGATTTGTTCTCTCCGCCTCTCTAGTCACCACATCCTATCTCTCCATTCTTCCTAACTCCTGGCCGTTACTCTATTCTCCATCAGAAAACTTTGTCATTTTGAGAATCTTATGTAAGTGAACCCTTAACACTGATTTTATCATACAATGTGATACATACGTGTATATATATAATCTTATTATCTCTTGTATACATGGTATATTATACATTGTGCATCATATAAGCAACATATGGTATGTAATGTGATAGTTGTTATATAATATATAAATAACATATATGTTATTATAAATTTTTACTTTAATTTCTCACTAATGAAAATTATGCAAGTGAAGTTTGGTGAGGTCTGTAAACATAAATTCTTAAATCTTGCTTTCTCTTAAGCTCATTTGATATAGTCATTGTCGGTGGCGGAATTGTGGGGCTTGCCTCTGCCAGAACACTCATCCTGAAACACCCCGGACTTTCGATTGGTGTTGTGGAAAAGGAGAAAGATTTAGGTCTGTATCCCATCAGCTTGCTGGGAACCTGCTCATTTTTTCAGGCTGAATTAGTAATGAAAAATGTTGATGTTTGTGTCTCGTTTTGGATTCTCTCGAAAGTCTTGCATGGTAGCGGTTGGTTTGAGGGGTTGTGAGGTGGTAGGAAGAATAGAGGGGGTTGGGGAGACTAAAAATCACACAAGGACACACTCTACGTGTGCTGCTGGAGGTTGAGTACACTGGTACCCGGGGAGCAGCATAGTCCTCCCAGGTTTGTGCCCATTCTCCATCGACTTTTAGGAGTGTCCCTATTAACACTAATAATTCCACTTTCCTCCAGAAAGACAAGAAGGCCTAGGAGTATGTACAGAGTCTTGGGGGGCCTTTAAAGTGCTGTTTAAACAAAGCATAAGTCAAAGTCAGAAATGGGCAGGAATGGTTTAGCATTGATGCTAAGGATAACTGCTACAGAAAGTTGCACAAACAGAACAAATGTAGGCATTTTTAAATGATGTCGCCTCCGCTGTCAACATGTAGAATTGTTCACTTCTTAAGTTTTGTGTGAGTCATTTATTTTTCTTGACCCTGTCTCTCTTGTTTTATAGCCCTTCACCAAACTGGACGGAACAGTGGGGTCATACATAGTGGAATTTACTACAAACCTGAATCCCTGAAAGCTAAACTGTGTGTAGAAGGCGCAGCCCTCATCTATGAGTACTGTAAGCTCAAGGGAATTCCCTACAGGCAATGTGGCAAGGTACAGCATTTCACTCGGGCATGGCTTCTTTGTAACTAGTGTTTCCTTGGGTTTAATGTTAAAAAGTTTGTATACAGTTTAGTTTTTAGTGTATTTGCAGAGTCATGCCACTATCAATACTAATTTTAGAATATTTTTATTACTCTCACACTAAGCCATATGCCAGCTCTTTGTTCCTACATCTCCTGAGTGCCTAACAAACAACAAACTACTTTGTTTTCTGTCTCTATACAGTTGCTTGCTTTATACTATGCTATCTTTTTTGTTGTTGTTTTGTTTTGTTTTTCAAGAAGGGTTTTCAGTAACTGCTCAGGCTATCCTGAAACTTGCTTTGTTGACCAGACTGGCCTTGAACTCACAGAGATCCACCTGCCTCTACCTCAGCCTCCTGAGTGCTGGGATTAAAGGCTTGCAATCACCTTTGCCAGCGACCTTGAACTCACAGAGATCCACCGGCCTCTGACTACTGAGTGGTGGGATTAAAGGTGTGTGCCACTACTACCCAGTTTATACATATCTTATAAATAGAATTATGTCACATAGACTATGTGATATTCTGTGACATTTAAAAAGATATACACTTACCATAATGCTTTCAGAGGTTATCCATGTTATAGCATTAATTAGTACTTCCTCCTTTTTTATGCTGTCTCCATTATTTTGTTTGGGTGCTTATTAGTGATATGCATTTGAGTTGTTTCTGCTTTTTTGTTATGAATAACACAGTTATACGTATTTATATATAACTTTTATGGAAACCCATTCTCATTTCTCAGTGGAATATTTCTAGAAATAGAATTTCTGGTAGGAACTCCATCTTTAATATTTGAAGGAACTGCCAAGCTCTTTTCCAGATGTATGGTTACATTTTTGATGGGGAACCTCTGTCAGCCAATGACCTTTAAGAAGTTGGACCAGGTTAGGGTGTGACCTAAGTTTGACCTCAGGGTTGGGGACACCATTTAGGGGTTGATTATTACTTGTATAGGGTAGAGGGTTGGGGTGAAAATTATGTAGGCCCAGAGTCTCCTTGGAAAAAAAGAGGGAAAATTAAATGGAATAACAGATAATTTAGTGTGAACTTACTTACACTAATAATAATAATAATAATAATAGTGAGTAATAGAGTGAATACTTATGAGCTATTATTTATGGACAATTTACATTGGTATAGTTTCTTGTATATTGATACAAGTTCAAATTATATTTGTTATTTCTGTTTACAATATTTGTATACCTATGCAAAGTTATTTTGTCAGATTGTATTTGTGCATGTTTCTACCTCTGTTTAAGACATTTTGTATATTGATACAATTTTAGGATCTATTTATCATATTGCATTTTATATTCCTACCTCTGATCAAGATGCTTATACATTGTTTACATTTTGAGGTCATTGTCCTCATTTACTGCACAGTTGTTTACAGATTATTTAATATTCTGATATAAAGTCTTAGTCTTTAAGTTATATAAGTATTAAGTATTACAGGTCAATAGTTATTCATGTTTGTTGTACATTTAGTCAGATTAATTAGGTTCTTTAGATACATAGAGATTGTATTATGCATAGGTAGGTAATCTTCAGCCACTTCAAAGATCTGTAGAACATGACATTTAAATAACTTAAGGTTCTGTTGATATGAGACATGCTCCTGACAGCACCAATCATTTCCTGAGAGAATCTTGAGCACCAAAACCACTCCATTTGGAGTTTGTTTTCTTCTTGGCACAACTGGCCTTTGGGCAAGGAACTGCCCATGCCTCAACCACTGACAAAGTACATGGTATCCAGACTGGTTAAGCAGGGCACAAGAAAAAAAGACTGCCAAACCTTGCATATAGCCCTTTTCATATGTTGCTGTATTTAGTTTTATTGTTTTGCCTAAGACTGTTAGATCTGTATTTACAAATGAGGGCTGAGGGCATAGCTCAGTGGTGTATGGGAGTACACTGACCTCATGATAGTAGTTTTACAAATGGTTCTTTTTCTTTCTTTTTTTGAAAGTGTTTATTGGATTTGATTCTTTCTTAAACATGTGGTAACCTTCATGAGTTAAGCCTTTGCTGCCTGGCCTTCCATTAAGGCAAGTTGTTTTTGCTTTTAGTTTTTTGTTTGTTTGTTAGTTGGTTGGTTGGTTGGTTTTTCCAGACAGGGTCTATATATGTAGCCTTGGCTTTCCTGGAACTCAATGTGTAGACCAGGCTGGCCTTGAACTCATAGAGATCCTCCTGCCTCTGTTTCCCAAGTGCTGGGATTAATGGTGTGCGCCAACACCGGTGGCCTGGCCTTTGTTGGAAGTTTTTATTTGCTTTTCTTGCCATGGTTTGGTTCAGGTTTGTTGTTGCTGCTGTTGTGAGTCGTTTTCAGAAGTGTCTTCCTAACAGTTTCAGCGTCTGAATGGCATGCTTTCTGTGGCAGGGTTAGCTGTTCATACCACCCTTGTGAGGCTTATTTCCATAAGGTTGGTGTGGTGTCCTCTCTCCCTTTCTCCACATTTGTAAGTCTGAAAGCTCATTATTGTCATTGAAGATGCGTTACACTGAAAAGAAAAGATGCAGGGTTGGGGATTCAGCTCAAAGGTAGAGCTCTTGCCTAGCAAGTACAAGGCCCTGGTTTTTTTTTTGTTGTTGTTGTTGTTTGTTTGTTTGTTTTTTTGTTTTGTTTTTTTTTATGTGAGAAAATGCCTTGGCAGAATGTTAAGTGAAAAAAAGGAAGTAGGCTGGGTGGTTGTAAGAGGTCAAGATTCATTTTATGTGTATGTGTGTTTTGCCTGCATGTGTGTGCAGTGTCCACAGAAGGCAGAGAGGGTCCTGGATCTCCTGGAACTGGAGTGATAGGTGTTTCTCAGCCACCATGTGGGTCCTGGGAATTGAACCTGGGACCTCTGCAAGAACAGCCAGTGCTCTAAGCTGCTGAGCCATGTCTCTAGCCCCCTTTACATCTTTCAAAGTAAATACCCTTCTTATTTCCACGAGTCAATGCGAAATGCTAGCTCATAAAAGACAGTCAGTCATCAGTATAACGGGCACTACTCTCAACAAGCTAGTCTTTTGTTGTCTTGAAATAAATTACAGTCTTTACTAATGCAGAGAGAATTGCATTCAATCAACTTTCTTCAGAACTCTTCTCCTATATATTTCTGGGAAAGGTATTTGAAATTGAGTTTCTTCTTATTTCACCGCAAGGCAAACACACAGACACACATTCAAGGGCATATTAACATGCATAAGTCACTACCTCATAACTAAGAACCAACAGAATTCCCTTTTGGTCAAGGTACAAAGGCTGCTTAAGTCAATAAATGGTTAACTTTTTAATAAAAAATTAGTCAAAGGATACCATCAAGAAAGCAAAATGATGCCTTTAATTCCAGCACTCGGGAGGCAGAGGCAGGTGGATCTCTGTGAGTTCGAGGCCAGCCTAGTCTACAAGAGCTAGTTCCAGGACAGGAACCAAAAGCTACGGAGAAACCCTGTCTCAAAAAATAAAAAAAAAAGAAAAAGAAAGCCTAATATTTAAAGAAAGTAAAACAATGAAAAAATGGCATTGGGTTCTTTTCCACGCCCTTTCCTTTTCAAGGGTGTATAACCTGCCAGCTCCCTAGCAACCCACATGGTTTTGTATCCATCATTTTAAGGCTTTCTTTTCCTTGCATTTTTCTTTCAGTGAGATTCCAAATAGATACATCATCTCTGAATGCCCTACAATGCCTCACTGAGTCCCTCACACCCACCAAAGCAGGCAGGATTGCAGAAATTGCAGACGGCAGCAATGCTAATGGCCTCTCGTGTCTTAAACCATCGTTAGGTACACGACCCGTGATCTAGAATTGTGTTTCTGTCACTACCTTCCAGACATAGACAACAAGGCTCAGAGGGGGCGTGTGGGTTAACCCTGGTCACAGATGAGAGGTGACAGAACTGGGGCTCACGCTGCCTTCTTTCACATTCAGGCTCGCTGTGGTCTCTAAACTCTACATGTGGGAGCTTTAAATGACACAGATCTCCGTAATCTGCTGGGGAAAGCTTTACATAATCTAATTCTAGACATCCCAGCATTGTGAACTAGTCTGCCTTTCTTCAGAGAAGAGTAGCCTGTTAGTGATTTGGAATGAATTCCATGGCATGTTCTCTTACAAAAACAATTCTTTAAATCATATTCGTTCAAATTTCCATACATGTATACAACATACTTTTTATTTTTTTCAGAGATTCATTTTATGTGGGTCTGCATGTACGTTCCTGCATCGCGTGTATGCAGTGCCCTTTGGGACCAGAAGAGGGCATCGGATCCCCGGGAACTGGAGTTTGACAGACAGCTGTGAGCCTCCATGTGAGTGCTGGAAATTGAACTTGGGTCTTCTGCAAGAATGGCCAGTGCTCTTAGCTGTTGACCATCTCTGCTGCATCTGCAGTGTGTCTTGGTTGTACCCACCTTCCATTCTCCCCTGCTCCTCCCCCAGGATTCCCAACACTCTCCAACCTGACTTCACATGTTTCTTTTCAACTTCTTACTTATTCGTTATTTCTTTTTAAATAAGCTACTTGTGGTGGAGGACAGTGGTAAACCCACAACTTTCCATGTCCACATCTTCCTCACACTCCATGCTCCCCCCAGCATTCAGAGAGACATCTTTATGCTAGAACGTAAATGTGTAGACCCTTTCTGTCCATTCTTCCAACCCCCTTCCAGCCTCTGGGGTGTCGCCTTGCCAGCTGTCCGTTCATATCGCACTTCACATAGGAAGCACAGATATGGAAGGAAACAGCCGTGGGGTATCCAAAGAACCCACTACGTGTGTCAAAAGAATTGCACCCTGCAAAAGCGAATGTCAAAGGCAGCCAGGCACCTCCGTGGGAAATGACCTTAAGAAAACTCAACCTGTCTAAGATGCCCTCCCTTCTTTGTGCCTGCCCAAAGTAAACCTTGTTAACATTGCATCTATATTCAAGTCTCAGTTTCAAAACCAACATGCCCTCTCCCCTAACACTCCTCCAACCGGGCATCCTACAAATCTTCAGAGAAGCTATAGCAGGCTTCTATTTCTTCTCTGCAGTGCAGAGTTGATTCATCTCGGGCGGAACACGCCTGCGGAATGAAGAAGCTTCTTCTAATGCCTCAAGAGGCCCATCGGAAGTCTGTTCTATTGCTGGTTTAGTTGAATGTTTTACTGCTGTATGTGTGTTAAGACTTCCAGTGTGGCCTTTTTTTTTTACACAGTTCCCGCCCCCCAGTCCCACACGGGCACCGTTGTATTGAGTAACAGATACTTCTTATCAATGTGCTCAGCAAACTGAACATCCAGAGGCCCTTACATTGAAGCTATGGAGGAGTGACCACATTTGATGGCATTTAGATGTGCAAGCAGGAAGTGATGGTTGAGGGGCGGAGGTTTCTCTCCTAGCAACCACGCCAGGGACAGTCGTTGGCTTGTTTTTCACCTGTGTGCTTTCTGGTGCCCTGTCTCACAAATTGAATCCAATTTTTCTTGCATGAGCACTCCCTGCGTGCCGCGTGGAGAAGTCTTCTTCTCCCTTAAGCCCTAACCTTCAGAGGAAAACAAGGAACTCAGAAGCCCGTGGTCTTGTCGGCGAGGCTCTCCCATGTGGAATAGCGCACCCGTGGCTTTCCACAGCGGTGGGAGATGGCTGAGAGTGGAACCCGTCCCCAAACAGGGTGTACCTGGGACCAGAGCCTGTCTTCTGGACTGAGACCAAACACAGAGCCCAGATCCTGCGGTGGGTGCACTGGGAAAGCGATGGTGCTTCTTTTTAATGGAACCAATCCATGGTCTCCACTCCCCACTCCGTTTTACAACCTCTCAGCCTTTACTAGGGAGGCTCAAAGGAATAAAGAGACGGTAATCAATGGGATGACGGGGGTGACTAGATTTTTTTTTCAGACTTCTATTTTTTTGCCCCCAAGAATGTGCTCTAGAGCAGAGATTCTCAATCTGTGGATGGTGACTACTTTGGCAAACCTCTATCTCTAAAGGCCAGCTGGCCTGGGTCTGAAAAAAGCCCGGGATAAAACCAGTCTCACTGGACATAGCGGACAAGGAGGACTACTGAGAACTCAAGAACAATGGCAATGGGTTTTTGATCCTACTGCACGTATTGGCTTTGTGGGAGCCTAGGCAGTTTGGTTGCTCACCTTACTAGACCTGGATGGTGGTGGGTGGTCCTTGGACTTCCCACNGCCTAGTCTACAAGAGCTAGTTCCAGGACAGGAACCAAAAGCTACGGAGAAACCCTGTCTTGAAAATCAAAAAAAAAAAAAAAAAAAAAAGCAACAAAAGAAAACATGATCAAAACATGATCATGTGCTTCTCTTATTGCTGGAATGGAGTAATAACAATAAGAGTTGTAAATGGCTGGGATCATACTGCAACTCTCATCGAGAAGGCTGCATTTCATAGTCGGGGACATTAGTTTTAATGCTATTTTTTAAGACATTTTCTTGACAAAGGAAAGAAATAATGAACAAAAGGAGAAGGAGGTTTACGAAAGAAAAATACGTTATATCAGCCTTGTTTGGTACAGGTGATAATTTGTGATTTTTACATTGACTTTATATATATTTCATAACTGATGATATTTTAACCATTCATGCATTTTGTCATTTTCTGAAGCTAATAGTAGCTGTTGAGCAAGAAGAAATCCCTAGACTTCGGGCCCTGTATGAGAGAGGTCTGCAGAATGGAGTCCAAGGCTTGAGACTGATCCAACAGGAGGAGATAAAAAAGAAGGAGCCATATTGCAGGGTGAGTGGCTGACCAGCCTACTGCACATGGTGGTTCCCATAAGCTATTCCACATAATACTGCCGTGAATAAACATTCTGGAACATGTGTCTTGGTAAGAAACGTTAACGCTGCTATTGGGTCTCTACATCAGAGAGATTGTCAGGTTGTAGTTTATGTGTTTATGTCCAGCTTTGGCAAATATTGCCAAAAGTTTTCCACTGTGCCTTGGTTTATCCTCTCAGTCACACAGAGTCCAGTTGTTCTGTGTCCACAGACACGTGGGTTTTGTTCCACTGAAGCGTTTGTGAGTATGTGGTACAATCTAAATCTGTCTTACTGAAAATTCATAGACTAGAAATCCTTCAGATTTGTGGATGTTTCCATAGGCTGTACCAGTTGAACATGCCTAAACTTCAGAAAAATCACAATGTTCCCAAACTCAAGTATTTTTGAGAATCCTCTTGGTATTATAAAGCTCTGTATGTTTTTAGTTTAGATTCTCAAACTGTAACATTACATTATGCTTTTAACTTATAATTCCCCAATGACTCACTGTGTCACACACCTTCCTGTGTTTACTCCCAGCTTGGAAACCTTCCTCCTGAAGCTCCTATTTGAGTGGTTTGACCATAATCTATTGGGTTATTGCTTCTTTTATAATTATTAATTCTTTAGAAGTTCACTACATGATCTGTATGTATCTGCTGCATATATAAATATACACTTATGTACTTGTCAGTACATCTAAGTGTGTGCTACAGGTGTTCCACCTCTCTGTAACGTGTCCCTTTTGTTTTAGTTCATCTTCAGATGAACAGCAGTTCTTAATGTAATCAATTTAGCAATTTATGTGGATGTTTTCCTGGTTATGTGATGTTCTTATTTAGCTAGCTTTTTGTTTGTTTGTTTGTTTGATTGATTGATTGATTGATTGTTTTGAGACAAGGTTTCTCTGTGTAACAGTCCTGGCTATTCTGGAACTCCCTCTGTAGACCAGTTTGGCCTTGAACTCAGAGACCCGCCTGTCCCTGCCTCCCAAATGTTGGGACTGAAGGCAAGTACCTTCCGGCTTTATTTAGCTAGTATTACGTCTCCCCCCTAGTAGGCACCTTGTGTGTGTGTGTGTGTGTGTGTGTGTGTGTGTGTGTGTGTGTTCATCACCAAATTTAGGCACTTACCAAGAGCAGACTTTTCTGTTACTGTTTTAAATACTGTCAGGTTTTTGTCAAGCAAAGGATATGTGTGTTACCCATCAAAACAAACCAGGTATTTTAAAAAGGTATAAAAAATTTCAAGCAAAAATAAAACTGCAGCCAGGTGGTTGTGGTGCACGCCTTTAATCCACGCACTAAGGCGGCAGAGGCAGGTGGATTTCTGTGAGTTCAAGACCAGCTGGACTACAAAAGCAGTTACACAGAGAAACCCTGTCTGGGGGGGGGGGACAACAAAGCAAAAAAAAAGAAAAAAAAAGAAAAAGAAAAAAAAAACTTTGAATGAACTTTACTGATTCTTGACTGTATTATTTGACCTTTTATTACTTTTGTCCTAGGGTCTAATGGCCATTGACTGTCCATATACTGGCATTGTGAACTATCAGCAGGTAGCTTTGTCATTTGCCCAGGATTTCCAAGATTCTGGTGGCTCTATCTTGAAAGATTTTGAAGTAAAGGATATTGAAATCACTAATGAAAGCCCTTCCAGAAGTAAGGATGGTAAGCTATCCCCATCTTCTCTATAAAATATTTGTATTGATAGAAAAGAGATGTTTGTTTGTTTTTGTCTGGTTGGTGTTTGTGGGAGACTCCGAGGAGCCAGGCTAGAGTCAGCTCAGAGTGAGAGGTGAGTATGAAAGAGACATGGGTGTGAGTGGACTGAGCAGACCTGCAGTTCCTGGGTGTCTGTGTGCTGATAGAACTAGGCACTGAGTAGACGTTTGACTGGTACTAAAGTCTAACAGCCACGGCTGTTGTGGACAGGTGGCCTCCAGACAGTTCTCTGAAGGTTAGAGTCGGTACCTCTTAGCAGTGCTTACGGTGAATACAGACGTTAGTGCCGTTTAGACCTTGATTCAGACTGCTGGGGATATGGCATAGCAATAGTAAGTGGTGGGCTATCTTTGGACACACCCAGATTTCCAACAGCAGACCAATATCAAAAGACTCAGCCCTTCCGAGTCTCACCTCCTGTTCCCCTTAGACTGCAGTTACAGCCTGCTTTATTTTGCTTTGAAATGAGTAGTTAGCTTTTTTTAGTTAAATGAGAGGCTTGCAAGCATTCTGTTTTATGCAAGGAAATTTGTAGAGAATCAGGTTCTTCCTTATCAGGGTTTAAAGGAGATCTGGATTTTATGAATCCCTTGCCCAGTGTCCTTCTACACTCTAAGATGATGAACAAACTTATTAAATAAAATTGTTATAAATGGATAGCAGAATAAGTCAAATTCACAATATAGGTAGATTGTAATCTTTTTCTGTACATATGCTTTATAGTTTGTTAATAGCTCATCAATACGTGGGAACAAACTTGATACTCGGTCAGCTCATTATAGGAACGTTTTGTGCTGTGAAAGCCCTTGCTTCTCTGAACAACCAGTGCAGGGAATCAGGTTGCCAACACGTGGACACAAGGCTGTCTTGTGTTTAATTTCTCAGCTTCAGTTCTGTGGTTAAAGCCAGTTCACTTGTGATGGCCCTGCTTACATGCAGAGCACGGCTGTGCTCGGTGAAGTGAGGGGTCTGCGCTAGGCCAAGCTCGAGAATGTGTGTTAGTTAAATGAATGAAAAGAAACCATCCTAAATCATGCCAGAGTTTTGTTTTGTCAATTATGAATTATTTTAGTCTTCTTTCTTGGTAAAGAGCTTCAGAATTATAAATAAAGTACAACTAAAACAGTCATTTAAATTTGTTATGGGTATAGAATTTCAAATAGTGACAACTTTCTTTTGCTCAAACCAAAGTTTCCCTGATTCTTCTCATTCCTGCCAGGGATGAACTATCCAATCACTGTCAAGAATACTAAGGTAAGGACTCTGGAGCTGTTTTTCACTTTCATTTCCTTGTAAAGTTGTATTGAGTGATTGCTATGTTTTTGTATATTTGTTTCTGTGTATGTACATGTTCAAGCATGTACAGATATGTGTGCGCATCTGTATGTATGTGTATACATGAGAGAGTCAGAACACAACCTCAATTGTGGTACCATGGGAGCCAGCCGATGCACAGATTTTTAAAAATGTTTTTATTAGCATATATTAATTACATATAATAACAGGCTTCATTACTGTGTTTTCTGCACATATATGAAATATTTGCATCATATTCCCTGCTCTGTTATTCAGCTTCTTCTTTCCAGTTAGTCTGCCCTCTTTTATGTCCTTTGGGCATTAAAAAATATTTTATTGTGTGTATATGAGTGTTTTGCCTGCACGTGTGTCTGTGCACTGTGTATGTTCCTGATGCCCTCAGACCATAAGAGGGTATTGGTGTTACAGAAAATTGTGAGTCACCATGAGGAGACTGGGAACTTAACCTAGGTCTTCTGTCAGAGGGACATGATAATCAGGATAAAGAAATAATTAGTGACATATAGACAAATGGTGGATTTCCTACGAGGCGTGAGAGGCTATCCCAAGGGTTGGTTGGTTTGTAGTTTGGTTTGGTTTGGTTTTTGTGTTTTGAGACAGGGGTCTCTCTTTGTAGCACTGTCTATCCTGCAGCTTGTTATGTGGACAGATCCTCCTGCCTCTGCCTTCTGAGTGCCAGAACTGAAGGTATGTGCCACCATGCCTGGCCCCAAGAGTCTTGACTTGCGGTTCTTTGACGATTCATGGTGTCAGGCACTTTTCTCATTACCTACTGGTGATTTATATATGTTTGAAAAAGGTGTCTCTTCAGGTCCTTCCCCCAGTTCCAGGATATATATATACTGCCCTCTCCCGCCCCCAAGTATCTTAATTAGCATAATCAACTATGAACTGGAATTCAGTGTGCTGTTTCCATACATGCTTATAGCTTGTTAATTAAACCCAACCTTTCTTTACCCCCCCCCCCCATATCTCAACTTCTGTTAATTCTCCATTCAGTTGAAGGGTATTTTGTTTTGTTTTTTAGATAAGCGCTCACACAGACAAGTACTAGGCCAGATGTTCTTTCTCATATATAGAAATTAACCATGCTCCTTTCTTTTGTACCAGGGAGAGGAGGTTCACTGTCGCTATGTGGTGACATGTGCAGGACTTCACTCAGACCGTATTTCAGAGTTGAGTGGCTGCAGTCCCGATCCTCAGATTGTCCCATTCCGGGGCGATTACCTGCTCTTAAAGCCAGAAAAGGGCTACCTTGTCAACGGGAATATTTATCCGGTGGGTAATGATACTTCTGTCTTCTTACTTACCAAGCTGGCTGTGGGCATAAAGGGAAATAAAGCTTTTACTTGCATTTGAAGAGAGGGTTTGGGAGACGGTGTAGGTGGTCATTTCACCTGTCTCTGGTGGTGGCATCCCTAACGCCGTCTCTGCTCTCGTGGGCATTGCGTGTCTCTGTGAGCTTGAGTACGCCATGGGAGTACTGCAAGCAAACCAGGAGATACCCAACCCATGGCTGTGCACTTTGTGTAGGAGTCCACTCTAGCTCCAGGGGTAAAAGTCAGGGGAATTTAAATAGAAAGCTCACTTTTCTGCCTGCATTTGCCCTGTTGACGAACAAGTCCCCAAAAGTATGTTAGGTTGAACTGGTTGGAATTGGTGCTTTGCCAAAGACTAAATTCATCTGCTTCTTTTCAATTCACCGAGGCCTGTGCTGTGAATATGTAGTTTTGTTTTTTTTTTTTTCCTGGCAGTCCTGTTTTACCTGCGGGTCACAGACTTCCCTCATAGGAGAAAGAGGCAATAATATGAAGTAGAACCGTTCAACCTTTTTTACCCAGAAAGATGAATAAGCGGAACAACATATATTAACGCAGTAGCATTTTGAACCAGCAAGAATGTTAATCGAAAAACCTGTCTGAATAAACTCACAGTGCATACAAATATCTAGAAGGAACTACCTCGTCTTACCAGTCAGATGTTTTGTATCTGCTTTGAAGTGAGATGTGAATGAGGCTAATAGTTGGCTGCTGTATTGAATCTGCAGGTCCCGGATAGCCGCTTCCCTTTCCTTGGAGTTCACTTTACACCAAAGTTGGATGGCACTGTGTGGCTCGGGCCGAATGCAGTGCTTGCCTTTAAGCGGGAAGGTTACAGACCCTTTGACTTCAGTGCCAGAGATGTTATGGAAATAATTCTCAAGAGGTACCAGAGTTACCTTCAAGATGATTTAAGTGCTTAATTTTTTTAATGTGAGAAGTTTTTGATATTCTGATAGAATAAGCCCTCACATGTGATTGCTGCATTAATTTTTTATTAATCTAAATTAAGATCTTTATGTAATAAGCATTTGATTATTTTGTTTTGATGCTAAGGTCAAAACTAGAGCCTTGTGTATATACCAAACAGGTTTTTCTCCACTGGACTATACACCTAGCTCCAAATATAATGTTTAACTACGTCACAAAGATTGTGATGAACCAGGGTGCTAATGTCTTAGCCGAAAAGAAAGTAAGGCCAAAAGCCATTCATATATCTGGTAGTACATCTTAAATGTTGTTATGAGATCTGAAACTAGTAAGGACTTACTTTGAGAAAATCATTTGAAGCTTTTCACCATTGTTTTGTAAACTATTAGATAAATTACTGATGAGATGGGTGTGTGTGTGTATGTATATAAATCTAAGGGTGCCATTGTATAGACTTATGACATATGACACAGATTCTTTACTGTTCTAAAATATAGCCTTATTAAGTATGCTGTTTGGTTTTTCCTGTGTGCATGCATGTGTGTGGGTATGCATGCACATGTATGTAGAGGCCATAGTTTGATGTCAGGTGTCTTCCTCAATCACTGTCTGCCTCATCTTTTTGAGACAGGGTCTCACACTCACCTGGAAACTCACTTACTCAGTTATGTTAGCTGGTCAGCAAGCCCGAGCGTTCTCCTCCCTCCCCTTCCCCGGGCTGGACTAAAGGCATGCACCACCACGGCTGCTCTTCACATAGGTGTTGAGCACCCAGACTCAGGTCCTCATGTTTGTATGGCAAACACGTTACCAAACCTCAGTTTGGTCTCTTCAGTAATGTCTCCCTTCAGGAGATTTTATGTGAAACCCCTGGAAAGCACTCTGGACTGTATATAGGTGTTGCCCTCAGCAGCGTCTGTAGCAGAAGGGTTAGGTTAACTTTTCAGGATGTGTGCAGAGTCTCACTGGAGGACCACTGCTAGACTGCGGCATCTCCACCTGACTACACTAGGAGAAGTGTCTCACTGCTTTAATGCCCTGTACTAAAGATGCCTTGTTAGTGTGTTGAAAGCGTCAGAAAGCCTTAATGTTAGCAAACTTCATAGGCTACCAGTTTGAAACCTTATTTTTTTTAATAAATTTTGAGTATGAGTGATTTCCTCTCCATATCTTGACCAAAAGTTTCTTTATTGTATAATTTTTCTGATGTTTTATAGATTTATATGATGCCACCAAAAAATAACTGTAAAGATATTTTATAGTAATAAAGAATTCCTCTGTCTCATCGAGTTTCTTTTTTTTTTTCCTTCATTCTCAGTGGTTTCCTTAAAATGTTGCTTCAGAATTTCTCGTATGGAGCAAATGAAATGTATAAAGCCTGTTTTCTCAGTGAGACAGTGAAGCACCTTCAGAAGTTCATCCCTGAGATCACCACCAGCGATGTGCTTCGGTAAGGAAACGGCGAGGACGGGAAACTTGGGAGGCGGGTCTGGCTGGCGCTGGCTCTTCAGGCAGCACAGCCTCTGAACCTTTGTTCTCCTTCCCCAAGAGAGGTGAATCCCTTTTGTGTTACTGCATCACAGCCTAGAGCTGGATCTTGTAATTATCTACAACTCTTGTTGTTGTTGTTGTTGTTGTTTTGAGACAGGGTCTGTCTATGTAGCTCTGGCTGTCTTGGAACTCTCTGTAGACCAGGCTGGCCTCGAACTCGCAGAGATCCGCCTCCTTTGCCTCCTGAATTCTGGGATTAAAACTGTGTGCCACCTTAATTGACTCTTAAAAACCCTTAGACACATACTTATTGGTGTTCTTCTCTACTTAAAGATTGTTTTATTTTCATTGTGTGTGTGTGTGTGTGTGTGTGTGAGAGAGAGAGAGAGAGAGAGAGAGAGGGGGCATGTGCATGAGTGCAGATGCCAAAGGAGACCAGTTACCCATAGTGGGTGCTGGGAATCAAACTCAGGTTAAGAGCTCTTAGCTACAGAGTGACCTCTCCGGCCCCTCCACTCTGTGTTAGGTCCAGCTCCGCCTGTAGGACAGAAGTGGGAAGTGGTGTGGTAACAGTCCATCTAAGTCCTTGCTGCAGGCTGTCAGGAAAAGTTTGTTTTATTTTTTTTCCATTTTCTTTTTCTTAGAACTAAAGAGTTTCTGGACTTGATGTGTAGATTATCCTGAATATCATCCAAGCCTGTGTGTTTTTCCTCTGTGGTGATATTTTTAGCGTCATGCCAGTTGTTCGGTCTAGCCAGTGGTGTGCTTTGAGGTGCTCATGCTGTACCATGCTGTACCCCTCCATGACACTCCAGAGCGCCAAATGTCTACTCTGAGCAGCTGTTGAAAGGAGCCTGGTGTAATGTGTCAGCGAGCTCTACTGTGTATCTGGAAAGAGTAACAATCTTGTCAGCTGTTCCCTTTGGGGGCGGGGAGACCTTCTTATTCGAAATCCATCTCTAATGTATCATTCTGAGACCGTTCTTGACTCTTTAGAAGAACTATTAAAAACCCAGTTCACGTTTTCTTTCTTATCTCTCCTTCTACACCTTCTGGAACAGACGGGATAAACATATCGAGGCCTTATTTTTCTTGCACTCACTTACACACAGCGCCTTTTATGTTAAGTTTGCTGCTGCGATTTCTAATGTCTTAGATCTGAAAATGCACCGGTTAAATCGGTTTTCTATTACTGTCGCTAATACTCTGTGGTCAGGTGGGCATCTGGGATTCTGTATCAAAATGGTGGCAGTGACTTCACTGCCCATATTCAGTGACCATCCTTTTATAGAAGCTGGAGCAAAGCCATGCATGGGTGTGCGTGGAGGCAGTTAGCTCAATCACAGGTGAGTTCCCCTGCAGACAGAGATGCTGAGTGCATTTAGCCATCCTATGTGTTCTTCCTCTTGACTGGTTCTGATTCCTCGAGCTATTAAACTCAGGAATTTACCAAACACATGGAAGATGTATTTGATATCATTTACACAAGTTGAAAAACAAGTGCAATGTTACATATTATTTATGGATCACCGTGAAAATAAAAAGGAATCTTAGAACTGATAAGTACCTGATTCAGGAGAGTTGACTACCTCTAGGGAGGGAAGATCAGGATCTATGAACACCGCATGGACCTCTGCCATTTCTCTGCTGATTCACTTCTGTACATATGCCTGAAATGTTAACTAATAATAAGATCAGTAGTAATTTTTACAGCTTGAAGCCTCAGTCCTGCCTTGTCTTATTTGTCCTGCAACCAAAAATGTCCTGTCAGTAGTGTGTGGTAAGCATATAAGCAGTGTCAGATAGTAAAATTGGCAGAACATACATTCATAAGGACCTGAGCTGGGTCCCCAGCACTGCAAAGGAACAAGCTAGTAGGAGCCACACTTGCTAGGTTGTGTTACTCTCAAATGGTGCCCTTAAATAGCAGTGGCTACCGAAGGATATTGATCTTGATTATTAGTGCTTAGCAAGGCATTGTGGGCAATAATTTGCTATTATGCATTAGACTGGAATGTGAAGTTATTATTATGTTAGCTACAGCATAAGGTGTGCAAATGTATCGTTAAGGGATCTGTCACCAAGGCTCTTCATTAGCTCCAAGCTCCTTAAGATGCTTTCTGATAAATGCAGCACATACCTGTCAGTGCTGCTGCAGTTTGCCGGCGTAAGAATGTGAAAAGATGACGTCATATATGTAGTGATTCCCTTTTCCCAGTGTACCATTCTGTTAGATGTATTACTAAGGAATTCAAAAGGAAAGTTTCAGAATGAAAACTATATTATGTCATCATAAATTGCAGTGCAAGACACTTCTATATAACCTCGGTGCTGTTGACATTTTGCACTAGATAATTCTTTACTGTGAGACCCGGCTAACTCGTTGCAGGATATTTAATAGCCCCCACCCGCCCTGGCATTTGTAACACTCCAAAATATCTCCATATGTTGCCAATATCCTCTAGGGGGCAGAATTTCCTTGGTTGAGAACCACTAGTCTAGAGAATTAGGTAACCCCCACACTACAAAATTCAAAGAGAAAATAAAAGAAACATCTTTTATTTTATATATTTATTGTATACATAGCCAATATTGAGGAAAAGCAGGGGTATTCATATCCCCCAAAACAGAAGAACTTGAAAACCCATTTACAAGAGGAGCTGGTGCTGATGCTGCCCTAGAACAAGAGGGGCGATTTTAGTAAGCGAGAGGCTTGGGTTACCTGCTTTCTTTGCCTTTCTTATTTAGTTCATTCTTTTACAATTTCATACATGCGTAGAATGCGTTCTGATGACTTTCTCCCTCGGCCTTCTTCTTCTCTTTTCCATTCCTATCAGCCTTTCCCCGGATCCATGATTTCTGTTTTGTTTTGTGACTCACTGACTTTAATCAGATCTGACTGTGAACTTTGTTTCGGAACTCTTCGTTGGAGCCTTGTGGGTGCAGTAGTGGGCCCACAGCTGAGAGCAATGGCCCCTCTTCTCCCAGAATTACAGGAACCACTAGTCCAGCAGAGGAGTAGGGCCCAACTGTTAAGTCCTTGTGCAGAGCCGTGCAGGCGACCGCGGTTGCAGTGAGTTGTGATGCCGATGGCTGTGTTGGGCTCAGGGGGTGCCGTTTCTCCCTGTCTTACATCCTTCCCTTTGAGCTAGGTTTTCAGTTGATGTATGATTCACAGGTGCATTATTACGTGCTCAGTGAAATTTGAAAGCTTTATTGTGTCTATCACACAAAACAAGGTAACGGAGCATTAGGGACGTATATTTTAATCCCTCCCCCCCCCCCCCAGGTAGTAGAAAGGGACTTTTGATAAATGTAAATAGAAAGTTAGAACCTAACGCATTCTTTTTATTTTATCTATTTATTCCTTTATTTATTTATTTTGAGACAAGCCCTGTCTGCCCTGGAACCCTAAGTAGACCTTTGAATTCACAGAGATCCACCTGCTTCTGTCTCCCAAGTGATTAAAAGCATGCACCACCATGCCTGGCAAAAATGAGGATCTCTTAGTAAAAATGGAATCTAGAAAAATATCTCCCTTGATACCAAAATGTATTAAGGAATTTTGTCTGTCTGGCCTAGGGAATTAGGAAGTGAGAATGAGAATTTAAAGTATAAGGACATAAACAGAGAAGCAAATTCATGAGAGTGGACCCAGACATGTTTGCTCCTGCTTGAATCTCAGTCTGTAGCCCCACCCCCACTCTCTTCCCTGTCCCTCTGTTAATTAGAAGAGTAGAAATCTGAAGCCAGTCTGGTTGATACAGACTGAATATTGGCAATACTAAGCACGTACTATTTTATTAACAAGTTTTCTACACATTGATATCAAATGGTATGCCGTGAGGGGTGTGCCTTAAATTCGTTGAGAAAAAGGAATGTTGCTTCGGGGTACAGATAAAACAAGAATGGTTATGTTTGTATAATTGTTGAATCATTTATCGTACAAAATGTTAATGGTAATTCATACAAAGAAGTCTTTTTTTTTGTTTTTATGCATTTCTTAAAGTTCCCCTCAGAACACCTGGCAGAAACACATGCAAGACCTGCACAGGGGAGCTCACCTAGCCACACTTGGGCCCACAGGATCCCCCAGCTAAGGTCCTGCTGAGACTCATAACCAGGCGAGAATCATCGGAGCAGATCTCAAATGTTCCAGCATAGAGGGCTGCCCTATGAGTGGAGCTGTAGGGTGCTTTCTATCCACACCAGACACAGGGGTCCATCCCTTGTGCCTGCTGGGGTGAGGAAAGATGAGCCCAGATAAAAACTATAGTTTCATAATCCAATTTTGTCCAAAATTAGTAAGGAAAATAGCTGCCCCTTCATGTCTGGAAATTGGATTGGAATTGTTTACCTTCTTCATAGCAGCACACCCAGGTTACAGGTGTTCACGCGGTATTACAGATTTAGATTGGCAGTAGATCCCATGATGAGTTATCCTATGTAGGACTAGCCCAAGATGTCAGTTACAACTTTTCATAGCTTTCCCCCAGCCACAGTATGTCTGCCAAGTGACAGTAATGCAGTACAGGAGAAGTGCATAGTATAGATTCAGCTGATACTGTTTCTGGACATATTGTAGTATCTAGCAGGTACCTTGCCATTATACTTAGCTATGAATAGCAAGCACTATATTAAATATAATTGAATTCATAGTTATTAGTTTGCTAAATCATTCTTTTAGTTCTTAAAAACATCATTAAAAGTCAGGTGGTGGTGCACGCCTTTAATTCCAGCACTCTGGAAGCAGAGGCAGGTGGATGGATCTCTGTGAGTCTGAGGCCAGCCTGATTGATCTACAGAGCTAGTTCCCAGAGGACAGGCTCCAAAGCTACAAAGAAACCCTGTCTCAAAAAGCAAACAAACAAAATTGTTAAAAGAACTAGAGGTTTAAAAATAAGTGTGTAGCCTTATTGAATGGATGCCTGCAATCTGCAACACAGAGACCTAGCCATGGAGGTGAGGTAGGTGTTAGACCAGACACTGTCTGCCCTCAAGGCACTTTGGCTTATCTTGCTTAAGGTTTCAAGCTGTAATACTTCCCTGAAGCTGAAGTCTTCTGAAAGGAAAGGCTCAGAGCCCTGCAGGCAAGAGCCATAGGGTTTTCTGAGGTGCTGAAATGAGGCCTGAAGAGTTTGGTGGCTTAGGCATTTCATGCTAGTTTACGGAGGAGAGTAACTTTACACGTAGCTGCGAACACCAGTGACTGACTGGCTCCTGAAGACTCAGGGCAGGATGACGAGAACCCAAGGCCACTTTAGCCAGCAACGGAATCCTTTGCTAAGAAACTCAAGGAGTGCTGCTGTCGAGGAGATAGGGACCCACACTGACACGCATCTGTGTGCTCGGGGGTGCCATTCTTTTCGGGCTCCAAGTGTTGTAGCAGATGCTCCCCTGGAAATTCTCCCAACCCCAAGTCTTGATTCTCTAGGGCCAATCATTTACCTTTATCATAGTTTCTCACTCTTGTGAGCAGTATAACTGAATTCTTGGGGGAGGAACTTGATGTCTTCACATTCTTTGAGGTGACGTGCGTACGTACGTACGTACGTACGTGAGCAGCCTCTCAGCACGGTTGGAAGGACAGATGAGATGATCCCCAGCATGTGATAAGCGCTTGGTCGATGGTGGCTAACGTTGGCTTTGTCCTTGTCCAGCAGGCTGAGTTCTAGAGGACAGTGTTATCCTTGTTGCTCTTGTGGCCTCAGGTTCTTTTCTGAGCTGAGAATCAATAAAAACTGCTCATGATTGCCTGGCTTCTTGTGTCTTGATTTTTTTTTTTTCTCACTTTGCTTTGAAAGTGAATGCTGTCAGAGGAGATGATTTGGATTCTAAATGTATTTAATTCAAACTTCATCTGTAAATTTTGACTGTTTTATAAAACAGCAGAAATCTAAGTCTAAAAAACCTCGTCTGGCCGGGCGATGGTGGTGCATGCCTTTAATCCCAGCACTCGGGAGGCAGAGGCAGGCGGATCTCTGTGAGTTCGAGGCCAGCCTGGTCTACAAGAACTAGTTCCGGGACCAGCACCAAAGCTACAGAGAAACCCTGTCTCGAAAAAACAAAAACAAAAAAAAAAAAAAAAAAAAAAAAAAAAAAAACCTCGTCTGTTACAAAACAGAATCTCGGCTGGGGATAAACTGGGCCTGGTTTGTGCCTACAGTCCCAGCCCACAGGTGGTAGAGACTAGGATCAGCAAGTTCAAGGTCAAGAGAGTGATCTGCTCTCTGACTGACCACGACCAGCCCTAGTTAGTCCCCAAGATGCCTGTGGACTTGAGTGGGTGCTGGAAGATGCTGGGCAATGAGAATTTCAGAGAATACCTGTATGGGCTCCGTGTCAACGTGGCTCTCTAGAAAACTGCCAGTTTACCAAAGCCAGACAAAGAGATCATGCAGGAAGGCAACCACACACAGGGCACTTTTCAGAACTACACCGCCGACTTCCAGGTTGGGAAGGAGTTTGAGGAGGATCTGCAGGCACAGATGACTCCAGGTGCATGACCGTCCAGTGAGCTGGGATGGGAACAAGCTTCAGTGTGTGCAGAAAGCTGAGGAGGGGCGTGACTGACCCCAGTGGATGGAGGAGATGAGGGCGCAGGGGTGTGGGCAAGGATGTGCACTGAGCAAACCGAGCAGGTAAACCTTGTTCTTGAGGAAGAAGTGTGCCCTGGGGCCTGTGGTCAGGATCCCTCTTCTGCCAGCTTGGGGTGGGAACAATCAGCTGTCCCAGGCCTCTGCCAGTGGGGTCTGTCTCTTCACCTCATCTTAAATGAAGCTACCCCAATACAAGTGAAATGTCTAAAAGTGAGTTTAAAAAGGTTCAAGGTCATCCTTGGCCACACTCGGCCAAACAAGACAGACAAAAAGCAGAACCTGACGAGTAGACTCGCTATAATATTAACATGTTGCTGAATTAATTCATTTTTGTACTTGCCATTTCTTTTTAATTAATTGAAGGTTTTCTGAGTATTGAAGGTTAAACTATTAAGAAATGTTTAAAAATCCAGATTGGACTCTATTGTTTTTCTTTATAAGTTTTAATAACATTTTATCAAGACAAAATACAAAGGAGCGGTAGGCTAGATGGAATATGCAGCTGGAAGGAACCAGCTCCTGCTTCTGCTGCTTTATGAAAGGTCTGTGCTGCTGATACATTTCTATGATTGCCACTGACTGATTTCTAGAATAAATCTACTTTTAAATTTAAATTTAAAAATCTATTCTGATTGAATGTGAATTTACCTGCTGCTTTAGGAAAGAGCAGATATTTATAAGTAATACAATTATTTGGATATTTATTTGAAAGTCTTTCTAACAAATATTTATTTACTTGTATCTTATGTATACTGGTGTTTTGCCTGCATGTGTGTCTGTGTGAGGGTTTTGGATTCCCTGACAGGAGTTGCAGACAGTTGTGAGCAGCCAGCCATTCGTGTGAATAAAGATTTTATCGCCTTAAGGATATTCTGGAAACCTGTAGACCACCCTATCTCTTTGGCTCAGAAGATTAACACTTGTTTTTTTGCTTCTGCAGAGGCCCGGCTGGAGTACGAGCCCAGGCCTTGGACAGAAATGGAAATCTGGTAGACGATTTCGTGTTTGATGGAGGAGCTGGGGAGGTTGGAGATCGTGTTCTTCACGTGAGAAACGCGCCTTCTCCCGCCGCCACCTCTTCCCTGGCCATCTCTAGGATGATTGCAGAGGAAGTGCAGCAAAGATTTAAGTTATGAACGGTGGAGGGAGCTGTGTTTGCGTCCTAGTCCCAACACGAGCAGCAAGGAGCTGCCAGCTGTGTTTTTGAATTAAATTAAGATTATTTTAAAACTACACTTTTTAGGCTAAAATAGCCATCGACTTATTAACAGGATATAGCAGATCTAATTTTTAAAAATTCAGGTCCATATTCTTAAGGACAAAGAAGCAAAGAGCGTCTGTACCTGTTCTGAAGCCTCGAGTTTGTTAGGGATTTACCCAACTCTACGTGATTTAGGAAGGACTTGGGAAGGGGGCACAAAACATGGACTATTCCATAATCAGTGTTTGGCTTTATAATTAATTTTTTTCCTGGAAAAAATATGTCGAAGTGTATTGTAGGGTGTGACATTCTCTTAATCTGAAGAGTCTGGAAAGCTTATATTATTTAGTGAGTTTTTTAAATCTGGAAACTGAAAATGCTTGATTTTAAAATTATTTTAAAAGGGAATACATGAAATTTTGTGTTTCTAAGTAGCATAAACAAACCCAGCCCTCGGTCTCTTTGTAAGCCACCGCCTGGCTCACCACTGTGTAATTTTAACCAGTTATTTATTCCACACTTCTGTCCTTTGGTCACACTGAGGGTTCCAGGATGTTGGCCAGGATTACTGATGGTTCATACCTACGTGGGTTTTCAGAATTCCTATAAACTTTGCGAGGACATTTCTCCATTTTTGCTTAATATCTAACTTGGAGGCATTCACTTTTGTAAGCCGCGAAAGTGCCTTATATTCTTCTTATGTACTTCATGAACATGTAAGTTGGCGCCAAGTGCTGTACTGAATACTCGTGTGCGTGCGTGTGTGTAGTACCATACTGTACTGTATTGTGCGTGTGCATGTGTGTCTTAGCTGATGACGTGTCTTACAGTTCAGAACATTGGAAATTAGAAATGTAGGTGAAAAACTGGCAACTTGGCAGTGGAATCAGAGCCGGCACTTAGGTGAGAGGCTTCATTCGTCTCTCACATGTGTTCTCTCAGGGTTCATCTTTCATCTTCCTCACCAACGCTCTGACGGGGGCCTGAGAAGGCTGCGTGTGTTGATAGGAAAACCTTTCCTTTTTTTATTTTCTCCCCACTCTGGCCCTTGGTGGTTACATTCATTAAGCTATCTCATCCATTAATCTGAAAGGATACTTACTATGATCTTCAGTTCAAGAGGCAGCACATCCCAGGTAAGTAGATGAGGCAGTTATGCAAGACATGGGATGGGCATATTGAAACATTTAGAAATCATTTATGGAGGCAACAAACCCTAATGGTTCTCCATAACAATAGATTTCCTACGAGAAATGCCCCGTGTGGAGTGCTTCTCTGTTCTAAGACTTCTAAGGGATATAACATTACGTGAAGATTATTTTCCTTTTAGATGTGGCGAGAGAAGTGTGCCGTGGTTCTCTTCTCTATCGGCTGTGAGAGCTTGTGCACACACGCTAAGCTGTGCACGACTAAAGTTACAAAAATAACTGTCACGATTGAAGCATCCTTATTCCATCTGGGTATGCATTTATGCTCCAAAATAACAGAGACAATTTTGGTGAAATATGTCAGTTATTCTGTTTGTAAAATATTTGATATTTATGTCAATAGGATTTTTTGTTAAATACTGATATATAAGAATTTTGTGTCTTCCTAAGAAAAGAAAATGTATATTAGTATTAAAATATTTTAATGATCTTTGCTGTTATGATCATGTTTTCTATTAAAACATTTACTGAGGAGCTGGCGTGATGGCTTAGTGGTTGAAAGCACTGACTGCTCTTCCAGAGGACCCTGGTTCAATACCCAGCACCCACATGGTGGCTCACAACTGTCTGTAACTCATGCATGTGGGTCCACAGACATATACAGGTAATACACCGATGCACATAATAAACAAACAAACAAATAAAATTTAAAAGATACTTTAAGAAGTTAGTTGTCAAGCAGTGGTGGCCCTTTAATCCCAGCACTAGGGAGGCAAAGGCAAACAGATTTCTGTGAATTTGAGGTTAGCCTGGTCTACAGAGCAAGTTCCAGATAGCCAAGGCTACACAGAAATACTGTCTCCTCAAAAAATAAATAAATAAATAAAAACAAGAAAAAAGTTTACTGAACTGAACTGGATATGGTTGTTACATAACACTTTCTTCCAAGATTGTAACATTCCATCCTACAGGGAAGTTACTTATACAATTGCTTATGCAACAAGGTAAACAAACAACTCAAAATGGCTTAAGGAAGTCCCTGAAACTGACCAGATTTGCTCAGCCCCACCCTGCCACCCTAAACAATAAAAGCAGTCCATCTCCGATGGAAGAAAGCTGAGCAGCAACAAAGACTCTCAGGTGAGCCCAGCTGCCTGGAAGAGTTACTGTTAAGACCAACTGAGTTACTTGAAAGAGACTTCAATCTGTCAAGCTGTGTTCAGGCTGTGGAGTGTGTTCCAGGTTCCCAATGCTGCCACCCCTGCTGGGGTAAACCTCAGTGATGTAGCTGTCTTTGAGTCACTTCTGTGCTTGTAAGCAACTCCTCACTCATATTTCTGTAAGTGACCCCAATAAAACTAATTGGTTCACCAGGTTGGACTTGGTAGACTCTGAACTTTGGTCTGTGGTGGGTTCCCTGTCTGGAGTGAGAAGACGTATGTGTTACATCTCCCCAGGAGAAATGCTATCACACAACAACCCTATACTAGGGGGCTGGAGAGATGGCTCAGTGGTTAAGAGCACTGCTTGCTCTTCCAAAGGTCCTGAGTTCAATTCCCAGCAACCACATGGTGGCTCACAACCATCTGTAATAAGATTTGGTACCCTCTTCTGGCCTGCAGGCATATACACAGACAGAATATTGTATACATAATAAATAAATAAATCTTTAAAAAAAAAACAACAACCCTATACTAGGTAAACTTCGTAACTGTAGATAAACCCTTAAAACCCCTCCTGAAGCTAGGTCTAATAGCGCATGCCTGTGATAGCGCTCAGGAGGCTGAGGGAGGAGGGTCACAAGTTCAAGGCTAGCCTGGGCTGTGTAGTTCGAGTCCTGCTTCAAGACTGTAACAAAAGTGCTTCTGTATTTGTGAATAAGATATAGAAATTTGTATTTTGGGTGATAGCGAAGCATCTTATATTTTAGCTTCAGGGTGCTTAGTTTGTGGGGAGCTCTCATGTATATTTTTTGGTGTTTCGTGTTATGTAACTTAGCTCTTTTATCCACACATTTATGTGTGGATCAGAGTCCTTCCCTTGATCCTCTCGGTTTTGCATTGTTGGAGTGGTGCCATCGCTGCTGGCGTAGTTCCACTTTTCCCGAGCCTTCTGGAGATCTGCCCACTAGCCTATGGGATAACCTCAACTCTTAGAACTTTCTTCAAAAGACAGTGGTTTATTTTGCCCAACCCTGGCATGTGGAAGTCTGTCAGGCCTTCAGTGGAGGCTGTCCAACCCTAATGACTGCGACTGTGAGCTCGTCCTGCACGTGTGGACCAGGTCATATGGTGTCTGAGCTCGTCCTGCATGTGTGATCCCAGTGGTACGGTGTCTGAGCTCGTCCTGTATGTGTGAACCAGGTGGTATGGTGTGTGCACGTTTGAAGGCTGACTTTGGCCTCTGGGGTCCTTCTCTGGTCAGATGTTTCCTCATCTTTCTGAGTATATTTATTATCTGAATGTAAACATTTTGGAGGAGCAATTGTGAAATCAGTTATTGGATTTTTAATTATTTTTACTGTGTATTCATGTGTAAGTTGTGATACCATGCCGTGCACATGGTGGTTGTAGACCTCTGTGGAGTCGGGTTGCTCCTTCCATTTTTACATAGTGTCTGGGGGTTGATTGAGCTCAGGCTCGGCGAGCTCTTTCACGCAGGGAGCCATCTCACTAAACTCCCTTAGTTTTTCTAATATAGAAGGTGAAGGGAAAGAAAAAAGATGCCTAGGAATTTTTTCAAATGGTTTGTACCCACTGAAAGGTTAAAGAATGGAAACAAAGGGCTGGAGAGATGGCTCAGAGGTTAAGAGCACTGGCTGCTCTTCCAGAGGTCCTGAGTTCAATTCCCAGCAACCTCATGGTGGTGCACAACCCAACCATCTGTAATGAGATCTGGCGCCCTCATCTGGCCTGCAGGCATACATCGAGGCAGAATGTTGTATACATAATAAATAAATAAATCTTTAAAAAAAAAAAAAAGAATGGAAACAAAGACCCAAATGTCTGAAAGGAAAAACAAGGCTGATACCAACAGGCTCTCCTTCCTGCCTTCAAGTCTGCAAAAGGTCTTATTTGGTGAGTGTTACCTTCTACTATAAACAGGCTCTCACATCAAAGTCATATGAAGATACTTTTTGTGGAGCTGGAGAGATGGCTCACAGGTTAAGAGCACCGGCTATTCTCCAGAGGTCCTGAGTTCAATTCCCAGCAACCACATGTTGGCTCAAAACTATCATATGAGATATGGTGCCCTCTTCTGGCCAGCAGTCATGCATGCAGACAGAACACTATACATCATCATCATCATCATAACAATAATAATAAAAAAGCTTTTTTTTTTGTCTTGTGGCTGAAATGAGGATTTTTGCCTTTTAGATGCAGCGAGGGGTATGTAATGGTATGCCTGAGAACCCCTTTAATTCAGCAGATCTGAGGGACAGTGCTGAGATGTCCGCCTTTAATCCCAGCAGAGGCAGAGGTCCAGGCCAACCAGAGCTATGTAGTGAGACCATGTCTCAGAAAAACAAAACAGATCTATGGGTAGAAAACCTTGAATTTCAGCCGTGTTTTACTTTCTTTGGTTATCTTTAAGATGACCTCTTTTGACTTGGGTACTCTGGAGCAGTGACTGGGGAGGTCAAAGGGCGGTAACAGTGTTGCTTTTTCCCTCCATGTCCTTTGATTTAATTTTGCTTGAATTTTTTTTCCACCAAGAATATAAGATATGTTTTGATCTCTCTATTTACTACACCTAGTAATTAAAAGTTATGCAAATTACTAATATTTGGGGACAAACAAATGTTTTTTTTATTTTCCTTTTACTGAGCTCCTTATTCTGGAGTCGGGGACCATGTACACACATGATTGCTGGCAAGTCTCTGGTTTGGATCTGTACTGAGCAGACGAGGAATTCATTGTTGCTCATAGCTGACCCTAATAACTAACAGGACTTGGAAAGATTTTATTATATAACAAGAGTTTAAACGGCTTCTTTCCATCTGTATGCTAGGAGCTGGTGTCTGCGATAGCAACTTGGAAAAACCGATTTTCGTCTTGAAGTAGCAGCAATATTTATATGATGGCATGACCTCATTGCCATCAGAGCAACTGGAACATTATTTCTGTTTAAGAGCAGTCTGTATGCAACATAAAGATTGCTTGCTTTAGCCGGGCGGTGGTGGTGCACACCTTTAATCCCAACACTTGGGAGGCAGAGGTAGGTGAATCTCAGTGAGTTTGAAGCCAGCCTGGTCTACAGAGCTAGTTCTAGGACAGCCAGGACTGTTACACAGAGAAACCCTGTCTAGAAAAAAAAAATACAATACAATACAAAACAAAACAATTACTTGCTTTTCTTTCTTTTTGGGGTTGGGAGTAGAAGGCATACAATCAATCAATCCCTTAGAATTTCATTGAAAATTGTAGTTGCCCCTTAAATAATTAACTAATCATGTATGTATAAAAATAATTAAAGAACAAAAGACTATGACTGTGGAAGAGAATGGGGGTTGGGAGGGAAAGTTGATATATTTTCATTAACTAAAAAACAAATTATAGTCGCTGCTAGGAAGACATTTTTGACATCAGCCTCTTGCAGGGGGCTATGATTCTGACAATCCAGTGAAGGTCACAGGGGAAGGATGCTTTCTCGCCATGCCTTCTCCAGCTTCTTTCAAGCAGGTGGCTGTGAGTGGACTACAGCTGTGCAGGGAACCGTGGAAGTGAGCAACAATAACATTCCTCCCTGAGGGGTTGCTTTGGCTGCCTACTGGCAGCCCTTGTAACTTGGAGTAAATTGAGGAAGTATGAAATGGCAAATGGGAGAAATGTCAAATAAATCCTTGAGAATTTTTTCTGTGGGAGAATATTAGTAGTAAAAATATTTAACTATTTTTCTAAATGAAAAATGTCCCTGGGACGTTCAAGTTATTTTCCAAAATTCTTTTTTTTGAAAATTGTTAAATAGCAGACAAAATCATTACTAAGTAATTAGTGTCTTTAAGGTCAAGTTCATGTTGAGATTTTTGTTACATATACGGGTACCCCTTTATAGTGTATATTTTAATATTTTCTCTTTTAATGCTTGACGCAATGTTCTGACTGAAAATTGTTCATTAGAAATGATTTAGTCAGGGCTGGAGGAAAGGCTGGCAGCTTGAGTTTGATCCCTGGGCCCATGGGCTGGAAGGAAAGAACCGACTCTTCGAGGTTGTCTCTTTACACTAGGATGGGCCGAGTGCAGGGTCTCACACACAGAGACCCACTACAGAAATGCTTAAAAGATGACCTAATGGTATGAATAAATGATACATTCATGAGGATGAAAATTCTATTGCTACAAAATTTCTAAGTGAAAATTCTGCCTCTGTTCCTGCCACCTGGTTTTCATCCTTGTGCTAACAAAGAATCCTGTGTAGCCTTGTAGGAATTATATTTACACACCTAAAATGCCACCTACTTAAAGAAATACAAGTGATATCAGTCTGCA